TATCCAGTTCACGTGGTTGAATCCAAAAACATATTTTTGGTGAATATCGATGATTGTTTTACTCTTATAATTTTTGGTTAACTTTCCTAGGCATAGGGAATGATTATTGGCATTTTCATGTGAATTGGTCCGGTTATTAACCTTAGTTCTCCATATTTAAAAATGAGACTAGCAGCTGCAAAGTTCCTTTTGATTTTTGTGTTATTTTGAATTTTTGGTATTATTTGGCTGTGAATAAGAGTTGACTGTACTCCGCTAGTATTTACTACCGAGTAACGGGGATTTTCACCAAAAGTGTTGATTCTCGCGTCAAAAGGTAGTAATTGCTATGAGTACGTGGTCATCATGTGGCTATAGAAGCTGAGTAACCGGGCTCTTTCATCTGGCCAATGTTGGAGTTCGCGTCAAAAGGCTCAAATGGCTAGCGACTAAGTCTTTTGTTACTAATGAAAAAAAAGAGAATAAAAAAAAGAGAGAAAAGTAGAAAAAATGTGAAAAAAAAGTGAAGGTTGTATTAGTGTGTAATAAAAGTCAGCTTGCCGAATTATGGATTTAATGTTGAGATTTTGGTTAATAGTTGGACCATTTGCTGATAAATGTTATGCGTTATTCCTTCTTCTTAGATTAGTTAACATGAAATTAGAGGATCTTGTGGTTTAGAAGCTAACCGGAGTGATGTTTCTTGGACTTGACTATTGATGCTTGATTATTATTTTTCTTGGTACCTTGGCAATTTGTTGGATAGAGCAATGACCATTATCAAATTTTGGTGTCTGTGTACTTTTCTTATGCTTGAGGACAAGCATGGTTTAGGTGTGGGGGAAATTGATAGGTTGCAATTTTATCATTTATTTTATTATTAATTTTCCCTATTACTTGACCTGATGTGAATTAATTGTTAGATTCTACTCACTTTTCGTAATTTATATTTATTTCAGGGAGTAGAACAAAAATATCACAATAAAGGCCAATTTGATAGTTATCGGGAAAGAGTTCACATAGCAGGCAATCGAGGGCATTTTTGGAATCAGGAGATACAAGTCCTTTTTGGTAATTCGCAGAGGGCAGCATTAAAAGGAGGAACGCAAGGCTGAAGTGGGGTGTCACTTCTTCCTCTCCAGAGGAGGGAGCCGCCGCAAGCATTAGAGTAGACAGTAGATAGGAATTAGAAAAAGTGTGCAGAGGAGAGGTCGGCTGTAGCTTAGGCTTGCTTTTGATTTTTCTTTTGTAGTCCTTCCTTACTTCTTTTGGTTTTCTTCTTACGGATGTCAGGAGCCAATATGGCTTTTGTTGACTTTTCTTCTTAGCTTTATAGTAGTTTTTCCCTTGACATGTCAACGGCAATTGAGAGATTGAATCACTTTTCTTAGTCTCTCGTTTTTCCTTATCCCTTCGGCTGAGTTGAATTCGCGCGAGCAAGAACAATGGCCGCAGCTGTTGTTCCAATTTTGCATGGATTTTTCGCACCAAGTATGAACTAATTTTCTCGCTCTAGTCAAAGGACAATGGATGCTTTGGATCGCCTAAAATTGTGAGATCGATTTAATTTTATCTTTTACTTTTATTTATTGGTATTCACATATTCCCTGGTTACAGTGCTTATGGTTATTTAATTAATTGATTGTCTTGGATCCAGATAATTAGTTGATTGGGTAATCTATTGTCAATTAGGACATTAAATCCGTAATTGTTTAATTGCTCTAAAATAGTGACAACTAGCATGATCAGGTTTGTGTCAGGGGAATACGCGGGCTAATCTAAAATAACCCTGGTAGTGTGTTATTTGGTTAGAATAGGGCTCCTCTAATACGTAAGGCAATTGGGGAATTAAATTCTACGGGCGTACCTAGGATTGTTTTTCAATTAGAGCAGTGATTAACGGGCGTACCTTGATCACCGACACAGTAAGGAGAGGTTGACTGTCATCGCTTGTTTGGCAGTTATAACCTATTTATTAGTAAATAATTGGAATTGCCTTTGCTTATCGATGATCAATTAGGTGAACCATTGTTGAAGTTATTCCTTGGCTAGATCCTTAATTATCACTCATTTGATTTTAGTATTTTGTTATTTAATTTTTAGTAGTTTCTTAGATTTTAGTTGAATTTCTTTGATTGTCACCTTCTGCATAAAAACACCCCCTTTGTTACTGTGAACTTGAAAAGAAACAGTTACTCCCAGTCCCTGTGGACCACTATCTACAGAAATATTTTTAGTTTGAGCAGGTATTTATTATTGCACAGGCTTCGACAACCTGTCAGTTATGAATTCAGTATGTATCGAATTTGCTCACCCCTAGTCTCTACTGTCTTATTGCAGCTTTGCTCGTGACTATCTTGACTCTGTGGCCTCATCTACAGCTGCTCTTCCGCACCTTCTTTCCTTCAAAGCCCATCCTTCTATTGTTTCAAATGAGACAACATCGTAGCTTTGGATAATTTTATATGTGCTCACAGTTCACAAATTTGATACATTGAAATTTGAGACCACCAACTGTGTGGCTGCAAATTTGAACTTTTATTGGGGTGGTCCAGTTTGCTTAGTAAAGAGAAAGTTCGCCTCTCGCGATTTACAATCCATCTATTTGTCTATTATCAGCTAGGAAAAATAGCTTGTCTCGTCCTTTACATTTTGGTGAAAAATTAATTTTATCATTTACTTTTAATATATAGTAAATTAGTCCCTCATATTTTAAAGTGAACCAAGTTAGTCTCAAAATAACCTGATATAGTCATATGGATCTTACACTTAATCAACATAAAAAGAAAATAAATTTAAAATTATAACATAAATTACAATCCATTTTCTCTAAAAAAAAATTAAATTTTTTTAAGAAAATGACATTAAGCTAACGTAGAAAGGGAAAAATTAAAATTCATATCATAAAAGAAACCCCCAAGTTACAAAGTTTTATAACTCAAAAATTTTTAACTTTCTTATAGAGAATGGTTTGTTTTAGATGTTATAATTTTTAATTTTTCTCTTTTTTAGAGAGAATAGTTTGTTTTAGATGTTATAATTTTAATTTCTTAAGAGATAATTGTTTATTTTTGATGTTACAATTTTTAATTTTTCTCTTTTTATGTTGACTTAATAAAATTTCCTAACGAAGTTTTAATATTTAATTTTTTAAAAGAAAAGGGTTCTTTTGTTATAATTTTAAATTTATTTCATTTTTTATATTGACTTAATCACATGTGCATATCAAGTATAGTTAGATTTGGAAGAAATTAAAGTGACTGTTTCAATTTCACCCCTAAAATCTATATCAAGTTGTCATTTTGGGACTAACTTGCTTCATTTTTAAATATGAGAAACTAATTTGATTCGTTTTAAAAGTGGAGGACAAAAAACATTTTTTCCAAGATGTGATGATTGAAATTCATCAGACCATCATATTGACTTGGAAGAAAATAAGATTCGGTAAAAGAAGGCAAAAGGTTAATTGATGATTGAAGTTCACTATATTATTGACTGAAGAGGGGGGAAAAAAAAGAAAAAATGGTTACGGAAATGAAGACAAAGCTGAAAACTGAAAAGAGCCCCAATATGCACTGGAATATGAGGTGCGATTTGGGAAGAAGGGGTTTTTGTCAATGGTGTAGACAATATGTGTTTCCTTTTTTACCCACAAATAAAGAGCAAGATTATACCACTCTCTCCACCCAAAAAAAAGAAAAGAAAAGAGAAACCACATACACAAACACTCAATTTTATTTTATTTTATTTTTACAGTCCTAATGAAAGTTTTAATAACTGCCAATAGCTTACTATCTTCGTAAAAGCTTAGTATCTTCTGAAAAAAAGGAAAAAAAAAACTCTCATTATAGGCCTAATAAAACCCTCCAATACTTGCCAATTGCCATTGCTTTTTTCTTTTTTTTTTTTTGTGTTAAAGGTTTTCTTCCCACTACAGCGAGTGGTTCTTGGATGAACCCATTTTGTAGGAGGCAAAAGGCTTGGGGCCTTGGGCCAAGATAGGACTCGTACAAGGACTTAATGGGCAACACTTCTGTAGATGATTGGAGTAATGTCCTTTCCGCTTTAGTATTATACTAGTCTGGGGCCTGTGCTACGCGCAGGACAGTCATATGTAACCCGTGTTAATTAGTTTGTTTGGATAGAAGCTTATTTGAATAATTTATTTGAGATAATTATTGTAATATTTTTTGTAATGTGATGTATGTGAAATAAAAAATGATTGAAAAAATAAAAATGTGATTAAAATTTGTGAAATAAATTATTTTATTTCAAAACTATGCAATCCAAACACACTCACTAGTGGTTTGTCTAGTAATATTTTGTAAAGTTTGTTTTGTAAATATTGATGTAGGAAATAATTTTATAGTATGTAAAATAATTGTGAGCTAGTTATTTTTTATTAAATGAGGATTATTGGAAAGGATTGTTGGTAGGTTATTGTATAAAATGTAGTTTAGTGTTGAATAAAATATAGCATATATGTGCTGAAATAGTAGAATATGAGAATAGTATTGAACGGTAAAAGTGTAATCTTTAAAGTTATTATTTTACATTGCAGGAACTTCTACAAGTTTGACATCCAATATCTGCATTCGATATTCGTTCATAATTATGAGAATATAGTCTGGACTAATAATATGATATTGTAGCATTTTTTTCCAACTTTGATGTTCCGACATCTGTGTTGGTAAGAAAAGATGAATATGCTGTTTTTGTTTGGCAATACATGAGCAGCATCGTCGTGTTAGAGTTCCTGCAAAATAAAATAGATGATTAAAGTAAACTTGTATGATTTTTTTTTTTTTTTTTTGGGATGTCACAATCCAAAAACTTGTGTTGTTTGAAAGGATAATCAGCATTTAATGCTAGAGAAAAAGCAACACTATCAATGGGAAATAAAAAAAGGCAAACTCAAAATGAGAATTTTCCAATGAAGAAGAGGCTGCTTTGAAAGAAGCATAGAAACAAAAAGTGACCCGTCCGTGTGGTCCACAAAAGAGAACAATAAGTCAACAAAATTTAGGGCCAAAAAAACAACAAAATTACAATGCAAGCAAGTAAATATAATATACATGTTGAATGAAGGGAAAGATAAATGGCATAACTGGAAAATAAGGCAACAACTAAGGCTAAACTAATACACATGAACAGCTAAGGTGGCCCATCTCTGCGGCAACAACGACGCAAACAAAAGAGGAACAAAGAACAAATAAAATTACAAAGGAACCAACCAACTATAGCATGCATCTTCCGGCGTCCTGAGTAAGGGAGAAACAGCAAATGGCATTACCGAAAAATAAGGAACTAACTAAGGCTAATGCTAATCACATGAGGAACTATCAGCTGGAACCGATGCAAATGGACCGCAATAGCCCAAAAATATCAATAAATACCGAAATAACCAACGGATACCCTTTTACTGTTCATTCAGCCAACTCTCAGGGGGTGCTTGTTTCATGCTCTGGAATTGGAATTGGAGATGGAATAATATACAAAAAATCAGTATGGGTTTTGAACCCTGGTATCATTCCACAGACCGATGCTTGGTACAAGCATAGTTGGAATGACATCAAAATTAATTTTTCTTTTTTTTTTTAATTATTGTTCTCATCTCTCACAGCTTTATACGAAACCTGCTTAGATTCCTCATCCACCTCAGACATCTTCCCCCAACAAACCTCTTCACAGAGAAAAACTTGTTTTCAAGATTCACCACAGCCTGCCTTTTTGCAATCTGCCCAACCAATCTGTGGCGACCCCACTTTCCCCTGAGGCGAACCAAAGGGTTGGCGGGCCGTCTGCCCAACTCTCGCCAGGACTCACGCGAGCACTCTAACCCGAAACCTTTCGAAGAATAAACTAATCTATTACAAAACAATTTTCCCCGAAGAGAATCATACCTAATGCCACATTAACTTCAGAGATAGCTATGATAAAAATGACCAGTCGAGGCCTTTAAACGTCCTACGTGCTACTTACCAAAGTACAAGGTCATAACAAACCGGATAGATAAAATGCATAAATTCATAACATAACTTACACGCCAAGTAATCGACTTAGGGTTTACACATTTTCCAGCTTCAAGTGACAATCCAAAAAGGAAAATACATTATTCAATAACACGTTACAGCTCACGGAATAAGTTATAGTATTCAAATACAGCCCAAAAGAAAACATAATTAAGCCTCCAGCTTTCAGTTTCCAAAACCTGTTAAGGAAAACAATAAACGTGGGTGAGCTAAAGCTCAGTGGTGCCCCAAAACATGCAATCACATAAATCAAACAACGAATAACAATTTAAACAAATTTAATCAATTAGGAAAGCGTATAACAGCACAAGGGAGGATACAGGGGCTCTCAGGAGCCATTTTCCACGCTTGATCAGATACCATCGTAGTTGACCCTCCGTCAACTTTCACTACTTATAGACCATGTAGATCCACTTATTTTAATCCTAACCCGTCACCGTTCATACCTCTGCTTCGGGCCCGAACTTCATCTACCGACGCAGTATACTCGAGATATACCCGTAATAAATTAGTCGAGGGATTCACCCAACGACGTTATGGTAGTTGGATTCACGAGTCGAGGGATTCACCCAACGACGCAACTACATATAGATTCACGGATTCATTAGTTATGGTAGTTGGATTCACGAGTCGAGGGATTCACCCAACGACGCAACTACATATAGATTCACGGATTCATTAGAAAATGTTTCACACACGTCACCACTCGAACGGCTAGTGCGATAAAGTACACACTGCTCACTTCGATGGATCAAAAACTAGTTTTGCACGTATCACATTTCGAGTCAAGAAAGCACCTTAATCAAGTAGAAATAGAACAAGCAGGGACACTCACCACGAGTGAAGTTCAGATATTGGATTGAGGATCGAGTTCCGCGTCCTCGTAAAATCCTAGAATATCAGAATTTAAGCCATAAGTTTTCTATTGGAACTTTTGGCTTGTACATGTAGAGTTTTCTAGCATGATGCTAGTTTACTTTTTCTCAAAATATTTTACTTGGAATCGAGCTTATGAGAACCGTACAATATTTCTTATACCATTCCTGGAATACTTTTCTTCGAAGAAAATACTATTATTATTTTCTTAAAATAAGTCGGCAAGATATTTAATATCAGGGCTAAAAAAAATATACCTTGGAAAAAAAATTCATTGGAGTGGTTGTGCCTACAAAAATCTTTGCTAAGGCTTTAGGGTAAGGTTTATTGAAAAATGTTGCTAAAATAAGGTTTTTCTTGCCAAGCAAGTTTCTACGTTTAAAACTAAAGTGATCGAGTTTCACCTTTTAAATTTTCCTTAGTTCCGACTAGCCTTAAACGATTTATAAAGAAGGAAGGAATTTGGAACAAAACTAAGGTTTTGAGTCTGGGAGAATCATTTTCCCAAATTGATAAGGTTAGTCTAACTTAAGGAATAAAAGTCATGTTGCCCAAGTTTCTAAGGCAAAAATAGTAGACACTATGTTTAGCAATACGATGCTAAATCTGTACCGTTCGAGACTTAAAGCAAAATATTTTTCATTTACTTAGTCAAGCGTTTACTTGGAGTCACAAGGTCGGTACAACTTCTCACATTTTCGATTCCAATCCAAAATCACATTTCCTCAATATTGCACAATTAGAATTTAAACTGTAATAACATTAGAGCTCGTCAATTCTTAGCCCTGTGTTCCAACAAGTTTATATCTAAGCATAAGCAGGAAAATTTGCCAAGGCTTCGTCAATACTTAGCACTTGGTAATCAGTACTTATATCAACTCACAGTTTCACAAAATAGTAGCACAGATTTCTAAGAATTTCAGCAATTCAGTCATCTATTCAAGTGGGAATTCATAGAGCCCACTATCAACAGTTTTCCAATAGATCGACCAATAGTTCAAAGGTGGGAATTCATAGAGCCCACTATCAACAATTCTAACACATTGTTTTCTCAAGGAAAAATAAATTCCAACAATTCACTTCCAATATCACAACAGGATCGGTCACAGACATTAACATCAACATTTTCCATTATGAATTCAAAGAAAACTTCACAATCAAGCTGGGAATTTTAAACTCAAACTTTGGCAATCACAAGGAAAATTTCCAGCATTGGTATGCCCATATCTTTGGTTAGACCATCCCATATATTAAATATCACATTGCTACCCAACTTGTATCTCTTAAAATTTGCATCTCGCATGCAGTTTTGACCCATTATGATCAAGGGAAATAAAATAAAATTCCAGAAACTGATTACAATTTCCAAAGACAACTGAAATTCTGGTTGGTACCACTCGGATATCAACAAAATTTCCAACAGCTAACGGTTTACAAAAATCCAAGCTTTCCTTAGTTTAAACATGGTGTTAGGGACTCAAATTCAGTAATCAAACACTTAGCTGGCTATTAAAATTTTCCCTTTTTCAAAAATCAGATTCATTCCACAATTAAAAGCATCCAGAAAATTCAGAACTTTTATCCATCAGCCACGGATGAACATGCATGAAGAAATGTTCTGTAATCATTTTATTTTTCTGGCTAAACCATGCTTTAAAACTCTCAGCTTCCTCATGCAATCTCTTAGCAAAACAATGCACATTTCCAGATCAGGAGTTGAAATTGTACCATGATTACAAACCCCAAAATTTCCAGGTTTAAATCTCACGGCTCTTTCTCAAAATTTCTGGCAATAACAATGGTTCTAAAACAGGATTTTCTTTGGTTAAACTAGAATTTTTGGTACTCTATTAGGACATGCAAACACGTAGCTAGCTAGTAAAGGTTTCCAAATCCAATCCAGATTCAAACTACAATTGTACTCATCTAACCCAAATCCAGAAATTATATCAACTAGTGAAATCCGGAAACACTTCAATATTTTCAGCTCAATCATTTGGTTAGCTAAATTTTCCAGCAACCATTTATCTTGTATAAAATTCTTCCTTGGCTTAATCAGGGATTTAAATACTCAAATTCGGCATACGGATACTTAATTAACTGAGTAACATTTCCATTTCAAAAATTAGGTTTGAACCATAACCCAAATCATCAAATTTCCAAGAAAGTCTCCAGATAGCCTCGGTTTGAGCTGCACAAAATCTGGTTGCATCTTATTTTTATTTTCAGTTCTAACTCAACTAATTATGTGCATGCCAAGCTAAAATTTCTCGTTACTTACTAGTTAATCAAAGTTAGAGGCTCCAAAACAGAAAACTATACCAAATGAAGCTACATTAACAAGACAATCTCTCGGCAGCAACTTTTCAGCAAAGCAGAATTTTCTAAGCTCCTTAGTTCATCATCCGATATTTCTTCAGTTAAAGCCTTTTATTTTGCCCTTAAAGTCTCACATGCACAATTGCTGAGTTAATTAGCTAACATCCAGACCAGAAAATCAGCTCGGCAACAGCAAAACACATTCATAAATCCAGAACTAGGTGAGACTACACTCGGATGAGTTTGCATGTGAAAAGTTCTATTTCATTTTTATTTCCAAAGTAATCCAGGCTAATTAAATTCATGCATGACCCTAATCACAATAATCATCCAAGTTCCAGTTAATTAATCACCATTTCAGGCTCAAATCACTTCAGAAAAACACATTAAAGCTGCCCTTCCAATCATCTTCTCGGCTAAGACATTTTCCTCTTAAAACAGAATTTTCTTAAGCTTTACCATTATCATCCGAAAGCACAATCAACATGCATGGTCTTAATCATCCAGTTTTCATTCAGCTAAGTACACTTGGGTGCTCAGATTGTCCCAGAAAAACAGAAATAAAGCTGCACTATCAGCTCAGCTCCTCGGCAGAACCATCTAGCCGAAACAGAATTTTCCACAGCTTTGATTTCAACATCCGATGGCACAAATTAACACATGCAAGACCACGGCTAGCTTAATCTACCTCTGATATGGCTTCATTCACTAGCAATTAACTTATTTAGTTCAGAAATTACCTCAGCTAATAGCTAAACCCTCACACGAATTTTCCAGAAATGTCTTCCCTCACTCTCGGCCAAGTTCAGACGTGGTCCTGGTTTGAGTTGCGGCTGGAATTGGGTTGCGGATGAAGGTGAGATGGTGTAGCTTCCTGCAGATTCTCCTTCCTGGCTTTGCTCTACTCACGGCAGGACCAAAAATTTCCAGCAGCTCTCTCACTCTCTCGGATGCTCTCGGAAAGGCAGGGAACAAATGAGGTTTTGTTGTGAATCAAGAATGAAAGAGTAGAGTGGTTGGTATCGTGGTATTTGGAGTGCAATGGATTGCGGGTTTGGCTTGTGCAGAGAAAGAGCCGGCTGAAATGGTTGTGAGATGTAGTGTGAATCTGATCAAGTGGTTTTGTGGTGCCGCGGTTTACGAAAGGTTTGCATATCGAATTGGTTAAAATGTAATTGGTCGAAGTTGCGGTGATGGAAATTTTGTCATAGGGGTCGTTTGGTTTCGCATGGAATTGTAAGGGTCTTTTAGTCTTTTCACTTTGTTTCCTAATCTCAACTTAAATTTCTAAGATTTATCCTCAAGAGTGATTTGAACGCCTAATAATATGCTAATCTTGCAAGGCTTTAATTATCGAATTTTTCACACCTTAATTATGTTTAGTATACTAGTATCATGTTTATCTAAAATTTATAGGCTTTGTCTTATAGTGAACATTCTTATTAGTATTTAACGTTATTCACTAATTTAGACTTAGTTATAGGAATTCAAGAAATTTTATATAATTACTCTACTCAGGTAACATTAATTTTCAATTAAGAAAACTAAGTATTTTAGTATTTTTATTTTAAGGCGATAAATTAATCTAACTTAAGAAATATTAATTTAATATAGCAAAACCGGATAATTCAATATTGGCACAATTATTTATTATTACTTAAAAATTATCTCTACACTTTTATTTCAAAACAATTAATTACCATTCTAGAATTCGAAGAAATTAATGATTAGATCAATGAAATAGCTTACCATCGAAATATGAAGTGAATGTAACAAAACCAAGAAGTTTAGTAGTTTAGCACAATTCTTTTATTTTGCACTTAACGTTTAATTCTACATACTTATTTGAAAACAATTGGACTTAGTGCTAAAATTTATTAAAGAATTAAAATGCAAATAAAATATGCACTGATATTTATATGTCTATTTTCAGGGTTCTCACACAATCTATCCCCGTTTTTGGTATAGGCCACCACAGAAGGCATCGTTCTTTCCCCTTCAGCATTAGTAACTATAGTAGGCTTCCCTCCTTCCATGGCAGCCACTGCTGAATTCGTTGTCCCCAAATCAATCCCAACAACCTTTTCATTCACTACACTCAAAGACCTGTAGAATTGAGGTTTATAAAAATGGAGTTTTATAATGCAAAAATGGGTTCTGAAATTGGTTGCTGCTGCTACTGATGAAGACGCCATTTTTATCAACTTTCAGGCTGATTTTTGGGCCAAAAGATAAACTTTATTGGTGAATAATTTGAGCAAAATCGAGGGAAAAAAACAGAGAAGATCTTAATTTTTTTAATTTTTCTCTTCACAGAGAGAAGAGAACATAAGAGATCGATTGTGATGGGGGAGACGATTTGATGGCGAGAGAGGAGAGGAAAGGGTCTACTGGAGAAGAGAGGAAATGTTTTATCTTTTATTTATACTGTTGGAAATGAAACGGAGGATTTGAGTGATTCCTCCCAATTTACTCAGGAATCATGAATCCCCAAAATTTTAGGTATGATTCCAATATTTTAATTCCCATTACAGTACACCAGGCACCAAGTATTGGAATCATCGTCATTCCCCATACCAAAACCCTAACACTGAATCTGAATTCTGAATTCTAAAATAAATTAATTTGCTGAATTTTAAGCACTGAAAAGAGATATATGAATGTCTGAATCTTAATGCTGAATCTATTTATACTGTTTGATAAATATTCATTACTTAATACTTAATAAGCTAAATTGTACAATTTTGCCCTTCTATCTTTTAATCCAAAAAGGAAATAGAACCTATGATTTAATTAGCTTAAAATTGTTAGGTATGAAAAAGACAATATTTATTTTTAAATCAAATTAATATAAAAGAAGAAATATATTATGCAAAACATTACAATCCAATAATTCATATAACATATAAATTCGACCTAAAAAATTTAGAAATGATTGTTTGAATAGAGAATATCAGATTGTTTTGTTTAATTAGATAAGGATTTTGAATAGAGAATATTCGGTTGTTTAATTAGATAAGAATTTTGAATGTAATTAACAAACAGGGATAGATTTGGCAGATAAGATAAAGTAGTTGAAGTAAATCTCTTGATTCTTATCAAATTAAGCATTCAGTTACGATTCTTGTGCTGAAAAAAATACATACAAATTCAGCACCACTTAATAAGTTCAGCAGGTGAATCTTTATTTATTAAACACCCAAAACCTCTTAATGTCTGAATGAATTCAGTTTCAGCACTTTTTTATGTTATCAAACAGGCACTTAGATTACATTAGATTTAGAGAATTGTTAACGGCACTCTATTTTTTTTTGTTTGTGACATTTCCATTATTATTTTTAACATATGATATTTATTTATTAGACTATATGATAAAGTAAAAGATGGGAATGCGATTAACAAATAGTGAAGTGTGTTAATATTTTCCTTGTATTTAACGGATAACTGGAGTTTAATACATTAAACTTTGTCGTGCTTTATGAGTAGTCACCTTTAAATGTAGAAAAAAAGGTATTGTTCTTTAGTACACTTAGTGATGATTAGAAAGATAAAAACTTAGTGCTAATATGTATTTTTAGTGATATTGTACATAAAAGCGTGTTACGACAAATTCTTACTATGGTTAATTAAAATTTTAGTTTCATGGACACATACCCACATTACTTTACTTCAATCAAAATTACATAATCATCAATCATCACGATCAACGTACTTTCAAATACAATTTGCAAGAGAAATTTTTTCCCCATAAATTTCTTAATAAATTGTGTCAAGGGCAAAATTTTTGAATTTAACGGAAGATATTTCTTTCTTGTTATATGAGATAAATGTACTTGATAAATTTCTTTTTTATATTATTGAAAGGATTTGTCACATTTGAGATCAAGTGAAGGTGTGTATTTTATATGTGTTTAACTTAGCCAAAGAGTCTCTCTCTTGAGTAATTTAGTACAGTTAATTTGTTCAAAAGGACATCATATTTATATTATGGAGTTATATATAACATGTTGCGAAAAGAAAAGAAAAGGTTGGCTAGTAACATCTTGAAAACATAGAATGTAAAAGAAAAGGCCATAAATAAAATACTTTGTTTTGTTGTGAAACTATATCTAATCTCTGTTAGCATTCATCAACTTTAGAATAACGAAGCTTGAAATTTAAAATGGTACTATTAAAATCATGTTAACACTTTGAATAAATTATAAATGAGCACCCCTATTGTTTAACGCTCGTTTGTATAATCCTTTACTAGTTACAAAATCAATAAATGACCTCCACTACTTGAGCTGCTGGAAGTCATCCCCTGCAAAGAAGTCACTGAAAATGTCAAGGCTACCCCATTAAAAGGCGCCACAAAATTTCTGAAGTTCTCTATTTTCTTCCATTGGCTTCTTAGTTTCTACTTTCTATTTCAAAGGTATTAGGGAGGACAACTTCCATTAATTTGATACTTTCGAAGGGGATACGTGTAACTTTTGAAACATAAGGGATCATGTGAAAAGCTTTAAATTGCAGTGATTTAAAAAGGATAGGTTCCATTAGTTTGATACTTTCAAGGGGGTTGCACGTAATTTTTTGAAATATAAGAAAATCATGTGAAAAAACACTAAATTATAGATCATTAAAAAAATTTATCCCTAATTCTTTCTAATATGGTAAATACACATTAAATCATACCATAAGCTCTTACACATGCACTGAAAGAAAAAGGGGGCAAGGTGGAGTGGAAATTTAATGACACAAAACCCCCTAATGTTTTGCGGTATTAACACTTTCCTACCCATGACAAAGAGATTCTATGCTCTGCTATTATAACTTTTGAAACACACACAAATTTCTGATTATGTCAACTGGTTAGTTTTACATATTATCGTCTCTTGAATGAAAACAAAGAAGATGCTTGAGATTAGGACAAATGGGAAGAACCCTAGCTTATGTAATGTTAAGCAGACTGTGTAAATTGACCATTTCATTTGCGCCTCACAACATCTGTTTCTGATTGTTGAGACTTCAGCTGTGGAAAAAATCTAAGAGGGTTGTCAGAATAGTGGTCTGACCCAAGAGGCACGAAAAACTAGGGCTGTCGATCGAGCCTAATGAGTCAGATTTTTATGAGCTTGAGTTCAGCTCATTTAATTTATAATATTTTTGGTCTTCGAGCTATAAGTTTCGGGTTAATAAATGTGAAATTCATATTCAACTCACATAATATTTGAATTGTGAGCCTTATTTAGGCTTAGCGCAAGCTCACTTATTACCTTAATTTTCTATCTCCGTTAGTAATCAGGCTTGACACGTAGCTACATAATTGGTCAGTGATTGCGTGCTTTCTTAGCTTTTACAATTGCGAAATTTTCAAAATAGTCTCTTGTATTTCCAAAAGTTCTCTAGTGAATTATAAGAAACAAATTTTACCATTTATTTTGTGTGAACAAATTTTAATTACCTTTTTATCTTACTTTTCTTAGACTCCGCCAAAATTTTTGGCTCTACTACAATTTTTCTTTTTGAAGAACAATTAGACATATTTCAAACATTCCAAGAATATAAAATTTTTTGGTTAATTATATCTACCACCCGTGCTTTAACCAAACTACAAGTAAATCTCTTGAAGTTTGAAAAATAACTGCCACCCCCTTTGACCTAACATTTGCTAAACGGTGTTGAAATACACACTAGTATGTGTAAACTGAAAGACTCTTCCCCCAAAACGAATCCACCACCGTCGTCTATTTTCAACCTCTTCCCCGGTACTCGTCCAAACTATAACGTCTTCAATAATATCCAAAGTCCCAATTCCTGACTCCAACAAATTTTACTAATGAAACTCAAGCCATTGAACATTGATTATTGTTGTAAAGATGATAACATGATTCTAGAACTTTTTTTTTTAAGTCAAGTCTGAGTGCATTCTGAGCAAAGGAACTAATGATCAACAAAAACGTTTCTAGAAACTGTATTGATTCTTTTATTGAACCATGAAACCATCCATATTTGTTTTTCATGCCCGAAAACTCATCCACTTATGCTCACCTCTTCCCTCTACTTTGGTAACCATTTTTGCACCCTTGAACTCTAGAGTCCTCACCTATTTGTTATGTCATTTCATCTGCAATTTAAGTTTTGAGATCAATCATAGCACTAATTGATGCATCTCTATCACCTTTAACCACTCAAATGAGCATTTTATGATCTTTTTTCCCCAATATATTGGAATTGGCTCTTTTGTTGATGCCCATTTTAGATCTGTGTAGGAAGTGTGGATGCTCATGGGCTCAAGACCTAGGCTTAATGGAGGTTGTTGGTGGCAAGAGAAGAAGATTTGGGTTTGTTTTTTCTTATATTAAGCAAATTGGGAATGCACTGGCAGAGTTAGTGGTGGTTTCTGGAACAAGAACGACGATGAATAGAGAAGTAAAGGCATTTGTTTTTCTTCGCTATACTTTTTCTTTTTCTATATCAAATTTTATTTTTTCCTTCCTTTCTTTGTAAGACATGAAGGGATAATTTTTGACTTTTACGTATGTTTTGGTTTGATTAGGATAAACAAACGTTAATAAACTAACAAGAAGGTTATTTATTATTACTGGGTGGGGCACACACTATGTATACATATTTTAGAAAAAAAATAATAAAATATATATAGAATAAAAAATTAGTTAAAAAGACTTTTGGGAAGTGATGCAGTGTTTATTAGTGGATTAGTTAATCAATTAATAGGGGAGCGTAGTGATAGTTATATGGTGATGGTTATATAGGAGTGAAACATTTTCCAAATAAGATGTGGATAGATAATAGTAAATATTGAAAATGTATTTTTTGAAAAGGTAAATGTTAACACTTTTTGTTACTAATACCAAACCCCTACTTATGTGTTAGTTATATAGTAAGATACCTATTTGAAGTTAAAGGAGGGTGACTGTTATTTTTCAAACTTCGAAAGGTCTTCTTGCAATTTGGCTTAAGCATAAGAAAGGTAGACGTGATTAACCACGTATTTTTATCAACAGTAGTCTTGGACACAATTTCAAGTGTTTGAACTGCCTAGATTGTCACTGACTAACTGCCCATCTTGCCTAGAAAAAAAATGTTTGAATTGCCATTTTTTTTTCTAAAATAATTTTTACGTTTTTTATGAACATATTTTCAATCAATCATTTTTCATTTTGATAGGTTGCAATTTTATCATTTATTTTATTATTAATTTTCCCTATTACCTGACCTAATGTGGATTAATTGCTAGATTCTACTCACTTTTGATATTTTGCATTTATTTCAGGGAGTAAAACGAAAATATAATAATAGGTGCTAATTTGGCAAGAAAAGAGTTCAGATGATAGAGCTTGTCCTAGGGGCATTTTTGGAACAACAAAACGTGAGCTCTTGTTGGGCAAATTGGTCCGAGGTCTTCATTTTTCCGCACAGGAGCCGCCGCAAGGAGAACTACTTTATATAGGAAAATTGCGCAGGAAAAAAGAAAACTTCTTCCTCTCCAGAGGAGGGAGCCGCCGCAAGCATTAGAGTAGACAGTAGATAGGAATTAGAAAAAGTGTGCAGAGGAGAGGTCGGCTGTAGCTTAGGCTTGCTTTTGATTTTTCTTTTGTAGTCCTTCCTTACTTCTTTTGGTTTTCTTCTTACGAATGTCAGGAGCCAATGTGGCTTTTGTTGACTTTTCTTCTTAGCTTTATAGTAGCTTTTCCCTTGACATGTCAACGGCAATTGAGAGATTGAATCACTTTTCTTAGTCTCTCGTTTTTCCTTATCCCTTCGGCTGAGTTGAATTCGCGCGAGCAAGAACAATGGCCGCAGCTGTTGTTCCAATTTTGCATGGATTTTTCGCACCAAGTATGAACTAATTTTCTCGCTCTAGTCAAGGGACAATGGATGCTTTGAATCGCTTAAAATTGTGAGATCGATTTAATTTTATCTTTTACTTTTATTTATTGGTATTCGCATATTCCCTGGTTACCGTGCTTATGGTTATTTAATTAATTGATTGTCTTGGATCCAGATAATTAGTTGATTGGGTAATCTATTGTCAATTAGGACATTAAATCCGTAATTGTTTAATTGCTCTAAAATAGTGACAACTGGCATGATTAGACTTGTGTCAGGGGAATACGCGGGCTAATCTAAAATAACCCTGGTAGTGCGTTATTTGATTAGAATAGGGCTCCTCTAATACGTAAGGCAATTGGGAAATTAAATTCTATGGGCGTACCTAGGATTATTTCTCAATTAGAGCAATGATTAACGGGCGTACCTTAATCATCGACACAGTAAGGAGGGGTTGACTGTCATCGCTTGTTTGGCAGTTATAACCTATTTATTAGTAAATAATTGGAATTGCCTTTGCTTATCGATGATCAATTAGGTGAACCATTGTTGAAGTTATTCCTTGGCTAGATCCTTAATTATCATTCATTTGATTTTAGTAATTTGTTATTTAATTTTTAGTAGTTTCTTAGATTTTATTTGAACTTCTTTTATTGTCACCTTCTGCATAAAAACACCCCCTTGTCACTGTGAATTTGAAAAGAAACAATTACCCCCAGTCCCTGTGGATTCGACCCTGCTCACCGCTATCTACAGAAATTACTTTTAGTTTGAGCAGGTTTTATTATTGCACAGGCTTCGACAACCTGTCAATTTTACATATATCAAATTACTATAATACATTTTTGTATGAGTATTTCAAAAAATAGCAATCCTAATGGGTTGCCCAGAGTGCTTGAATTTATGCACTTTTAAAATTAACGACTCAATTGAGTGTGTTTGGTTATCAAGATTTGCCACAAAAAAAAAAATCAAATTTTATTCTACTCATATAAAAAACACAAATTTCAACGGGTTAATTCCACTTTGTCACCCCAAACTTTGGACGATTACCCACTTCAGTCCCTAAACTTCAAAACGGGACACTTAAATCCCTAAACTTATAAATACCTTTCACTTAAGGAAAATTGTTAATAAATCTTGAATGCTGTTGGTGGTCGAAGTGTCTCATTTATAAGGGTTTAGGGATTTAAGTGTCCCATTTTATAAGTTTAGGGATTTAAGTGAGAGGTATTTATAAGTTTAGAGACTTAAGTGTCCCATTTTGAAGTTTAGAGACTGAAGTGGGTAATCGTCCAAAGTTTGGGAGGACAAAGTGGAATTAACCCAATTTCAACCATCTTTTTATTTCACATTTATCATATCACAAAATGTGCTACCATAACTATTTCAAATAAATGTTTCAATTAACCTCCTGTCAAATAATTTTTGTTGGTGCTTACATGCATGCTCCAATAGCAAAGCTTGGCATTACTCAGGCACATGCATGTGAACAATTGTTAACATAGCCGCCCCACTAGTTTGACTGTTATGCACATTTTTAATGCAAGGGTAGGACAGGAATAAAAGTTTGTAGCTTATTTGAGGTAAGTGACAAATATCTTTGGACATATTAAAAAGGAAAATATGATATTTTCAATAGAATAAATGGAATAATTGATTTAAATATATAGCTATAACATTACGTATGCCATAAAAATAAATAATAGAGAACAATTTTTCTTTTTTTCTTTTTGTATTTGGTTATGACTTATATTTGAGCCGGTGACCTTACCGCTTTTGGAGTGACTTCGCTACCAATATACGAGTATTACCACATGTACGATAGACATGACACTTTTTTTTCTTATTCTCTCAACCCTCCTCACACCCTTCTCACCCTTAGCAATAGAATTCAAACCTTAAACTTGGTAAGCCTTGACACTAATTAACTTGTGTGTATGCCCTGTTTGGATTGTCATTTTCTGTCCGGAAAATTACATCGTTTTTCGTGATCACATTTTCCTATTACTTTTTTCTCTCACATACATCAAATCGCTATAGTAATTTTTTTATGAAAAATCATGGAAAATGGAATCCAAACAGGGCCGACGTTACTGTTGTATGAATAAATTCTACATGGAAAATGCAGTAAAAGACATCATTTAACGCCATTTATTGGGTGCATTGAGATGCATATGAGAATCAAATATTGAATGTTGTCAAAGTGCCATAATTGAACAAGAAAAAATCGCTATTACTGCTCCAAGAGAATTTGAGTGAAAGTAACTCACGCTTTGAGATGTCAATTTGAGTTGTGCTGCTGCTGGTGAATTAGTAGAAAGAAAATATCCTTTTTTTTTGGGGGAGGAGTGGGTGGGGTCAAAGGCCCTGCCAAAAACTATAACGTTAATCAACCATATATAAGTGCTTAGGAAGTTGCCCGATGGTGCGTTTTGTTTGCTGACATGTCATTTGATGATTTGCTGAAAAGTGGTCGTTCTCCATGCGCCTTTCACGTGACCTGCTGCTTGCAATTGGGCTGTGAATTGCGTTTGTGAGCCACCGACTGTGTTTGCTTCCATGCAACCCACTAAAGAGAGTAATGATAATAGTAATTGTCCTTTTCCTTCAACCCACTTTCGCACCTTTATTTTCTTTTTCATTTCTTTGCTTCATAAAGAAATCCATGTGGGTTTGGTAAGAATTGACTACTCCATGCTTCAGAATTCTGAACCGTCCTTTCCTCTCCTCTCAGTCCATGGTCCCTCGCTCTTCAGCATCACCGAGACGCCCCTGATCTTTTCCTTCTTCATGATCATCATCTCACTCTTCATTCTTCCATCTTTTTTTTTTCAACATCATCTTCATCTTCTTATCTTCTATCTGTCTTGGTGAGAAGAAAAAAATAATTTGCTCCGAGCTTCTTTCTTCCTCTGCCAAAAATAATCTAGCCATTTAATTTTTTCCCTTTTTTTGAGCAAGATGAGGAGTTTAGTTGTAGCTTTTTGAGCAAACTAATGTTGTTTATTCTTTTTTACATTGCAAGATAAAAGACCTTCAGATGTTTCTGCATCTGCTTGATCGTCTTCCTCTCCTCTTCTTCTCTCTTATTATTATTTTTTTTGGTCAAAAACCTCTTCTTCCTTTCACCATTTTTCTATCTATGCATGTGATAAGCAAGTGATAGAGACAAATCTGATATCCTTTTAGCTATTGAATCTGAACATTTTGAGATTTTTCTTTCATTAAATTTTCTGTTCATGTTGTTTTCTCCTTTTACTTATCTGATCTGAACTTGACCTTTTTTTTTTGTGATTGCAGGTGGGAAAAGTTTTTAGATTTCATGTTTTTATTTTGGTAAATTAAGTTTTGGTTGTAATTTTCCAGGTTTTCGGTATTTGAATCCTTAACAAGAAAATATTTGGTTTTTTTTTTCAGGTTTTCGGTATTTGAATCCTTAACAAGAAAATATTTGGTGCCTTCTTAGTTTTTGGGGTTTCTTTGACAAACAGCCAATAGCACTGTAAGTGATGATAGAGCCCTACTAATTTAGATACTTGTTTTCAATACCTCTTCAGATCTTGCCTTTCCCTTTTCTTTTACGAGAACATCATTTATTTATTTTAGTTTACAAAAATTCCAATTTTTTTAAATAAAATTCCTGTTGATTTGGTTCTGAGAAGCTAAGATTGGCTTCTAATCGTCTAATGGGGATAACATTTTGCGAATAGTCTAAATTATAGTAGATTTACTGGTCCCTAAAATGGTTTCTATCTTTGTAGCCAATAAAAAAATTGATATGAAATAACAAGAAGCTGAGAAGTTAATTTTTTGCAGCTGAAATAACAAGAAGATGTTAGGATTCGTTTGCATTCAGATCCCATTTTCTTAAATTATCTTTTTTCCGTACTTTTTGTTATGTTATTAACATACATCACTACATTAAAGGCGTGAACAAATCAAGATTCAATCATTCTAAAACTAGTTCATGGAATAGTAAAATTTTCAAGTTAACAATGCTATATTTTTCCTTTTTTTCGGCTTTTGGATTGAAGGGTGGTCACTATTGGATAGGGTTGTTCTTTAATTTTAGCCTTAAGTCCTTCATTATTTGCATGCTGCTAATAATTATTTTTGATTGGTGGATACCTTTTGAATTGTCTCATATATGTACGGTATTTATTTTTGAAACAGCTTTGAGATTTTTTCCCCTTTTTTCTTTGTACAGACTATGATTATGTTGCGAAAAACACTTCAAATTTTTGGTGCTATTGTATTATACAAAGAACTCAATGAGTTTTACCAAATCATAGACTTATTGGGTTGTGAAAGACATTACCACTAGAGGTCATGGCTTTCTTTTTCTTTTTATTTTACAGAATATCATTTTTTCCATAACTTTTTTAAAGCTTGTTGCTCTGTGAATGTTTTCCTTATGAATGGAAAGTACCAATTTGAGACAGTCTTCTCAGAATTTTTTGGAAGATCTTGAACCTCTGAACTCTAGGCAACCAAAATAAGATAGATAAAGCATAGCTCTTCATCAGTGAAATTTCCTATCATTTTATGTCTATGCTACCATTTTCTCTTACACTTTTCATGATTAATTTTCATATAAGTACGAATGTATAGCAGTTAATACTAATATTTTTATGGCCAGTAATAATTCTCTGATGCATTTCTTTAACCTAGAATTCCAAAGTTTAGATGGGTTCTATAGGACAAACATAACTAAGATTTGAGAGAGTCAATTTCATGTCAGTAATTCTAAAGACTTATTTAGAGGTGCAAAGGGAGTTTAATAGTCACTTTTTTGTTTTAAGATTTTGACAATTTGCAGGGCCATTCAAATTTTAAGTTTTTTTGTAATCTGAACTATGTTGTCAAGAATTTCTCAGTTTGACATTTCTTGAATGGTGTATATTGGTTTATCCTTTCATTTTTTTTTTTTGCATAAATGTGTCTATTCATGAGCAATTTGCTCTTAATTTTCCTTTTGATCTGACTATTTCTTTGTGTTTCCTTTTGTTTGTTGCTAGGTTATTACAGGGATGGATGGTAATTTTTTTGGAAAAGGGTGTAACTTTCTGGCTGGAGTATTATAGCAAATGAAAGCTATAAATAGACTAATTTATTTTATTTCCAATTGGGCTATGATGATATAATTTTGGTTTCTTTAGATGTATTTCAGGTTTTAAATTGATTGCCATATCTTGGCGAGGCAACCCTGATGGCATTTGGCTTTCATTCTCCCCTTGAAATGCAATTGGGTCTGCAGCCATGGTGGTACTCTCATCTCTGCCTGACGTTTGCCAATAGACCTGAGCCTTACTTTAAATTATCATAATAACTGCTTAATTTAATTAAAGATTTGATCACTGATTCCTTTTTTTCCATTTGTATAATAATCTTCGGATCATGTCAATTTCTAATGTTTTTATTGGTTGTTTTCACCTTTGAAAAAATCTCTAGAGAGCTATGCCAGAAATTCTTAGGTGTGCTACCTTGGTTTGCAGTTATAGCTCGTTCATTATATGATGTTTTGCTTATGACAAAGTTTTAGCTTTTTCCTTTTGCTTTATACTATTTTCATCATGTTAGAGAAATTGCTTGATGCTTTGGTACAATTTATATAGTGACCCAAATGGGCTTTTGTCAATGTGCTTTAAATTTTTTAGAAATTTTATGCAGAAACTATATGAAGTTAGAATGAAATATCTAACTAAATATCTTAAGTATTTGAGAGGTCTTGCAAGCCTGTACGTCTTAATAGAGAAGTAAATATGATATTTGATGGTTGCTTTTTATAAAAAATAGTGAATACTTTTTTACTTAAGTATACAAAGACTGGTTAGTTTGGAAAATCTATTCGGGGCCTTTCTTTTTTCCTACTTCACAACCCAAAAACATGAAAGAAAAACACCCTGTGTTGCTCACATAGTGTTATTTGGGTAGAAATTCTTTCTCCTCATTTTTTTTTCTTTACGGCAATAGGAAGATAACATGTTCATAATGATGGCTTTTGGTAATGTTAAATTGCATGTTTTATAGCCGTTTAGTCATGACAAGGGATTAACTGAGACCTTTTTAGGTATCTGCATTTGGTTTCTTCCTTTTTTGGTCGGTTGGGTTCTGAAGAATTAGATAAAAGAAGCATTTTGCTTTTTATTTTTTGTAAACTTTATTTATTGGAGAAATAGGGATGGGCATTGCTGGAGTTATGCTACTTTCAAAGGACTGCATTTGATGGTCTATTGTGAGGATAGAGCCTTGTAAATCTTGAGCAATAATATCCGGCACTGCTATTAACGAGATTTGAGCATCTACCAGTAATGGAAGAAGCAAAATTGACCTGCAAGCACATAAAATACAAGGAATACGTACAACCACGGATGTAAATGAAATATTAGAATGAACTGGTTTAGACTGATTGGATCAAAAGCACACCCTCTCTAATCACCCTCCAAAGGTTTATGAATGGCTTTAAATTGTGAACCTCTGACTAGGAAATGAATCGCATTGCTACACAGTTATAGTTCTCTTTTTTTCTTTTTAGTTAGTAGTTCAAAATCTCTTATATTTCTGCATCCATACAGGAAATAGTTTTTGTTTCATTTATTTAAACCTATTTTTACTCGACTAATTTGTTTGGTTTAATTCTTTTGTAGCTTGATTGAGCTGCACGACTATGAAGCTTAAACAATTAGTGATGGCAATTTTCTAGAAGCACTGAAATTAATGAACTTTACTCGAGATGGGTTCAAAGTGAACTACATGAGGTAACATGCTCGAATTAAAAATTATCAACAGTTGGTTTTGTTATATGCCTAATTAACAATTTATGGACTTGACTATTTACATCTGGGATAGATAATATTGTCAAAATTCACAGTGAAAGCACGCTTTTCTTTGTGTTTCACATTTTTTGCTAAATAGATAAAAGTGAAAGAATTTTTGTTATGCAGTTCAGTTCACCTTTCTCTGTTTCTCTGATTGAATGATGAAATGATAATATGCACGTATTTTCAACTTTTAGCTTCCACTATTTGAAATTTTCTGCGCTTTTCCTTTTGGTTTAGCTTGATGTTCTATTTTTCATTCATGTTGTGTTGGTAAAAAGGTGGCATGAATGATAGGTATCTCCATGATTTATAGGCCAAAATGTATAAGCTATTTTTTGCCTTTCTATTCTTTATTTATTTATCTACCATTCATGTTTTGAGGAAAAATTGGCTGGCAAGACGTATTATTCAAATATATGATGGTTGCTCAAAATGGATATGCTGTTTATTTGCTTTCGATTCTTTATTTATTCGTCGAGGATTAATGTTTGAGAAAAAGTTTGAGTGGCAAGAAGTCCTTGTTCAAATATAATGATAGCTCAAACTTAGGAGTATGGAATGTGCTCTTGATGGCTTTATTTTTTTCATTGGTACTTTAGTAGTTTCTTGAAATTTTGCAACAAAAACTGCTGACGCATTATCAATGGTTTAACTAGATTGTCATTCTAGTCGTGGTTGTTAAATTCAAATATGATTCTTTTTTGATAGGATTTGAATGATGTTTAGATGGTGGAAACTTGGAAGCTAATGAAGTTTTGTCATGAATGCTGGATACTTTCCCTTCTCTCTACTATCTTTAGCAAATAGTCATTATTTACTTCCAGAGTCACTTACTATAGTATAGATATCAAATTTTGTGATAGTTCTTTTTAATTTTTCAGCACTATTGCATAGTTCCAACAGAATTGGCTGACTGCTCGAGACGCTGATCAAGTAAAGACTAGAGGCATTTCTCTAGATATAGCTGCAAGAGAGCACTTTTCGATGAATGTATCTTAAATTGTGACTTATTTCTTTTTCACAATTAATGACATGCATAGTGCATTGGGAGAGCCTACCTCAATTATATGTGTTATTATACTCTTCAACTTTATTAGTATTATTATTTTTTAACTCTTATCTGTTTTGGTTTACACCTAAATTAATCACAACTGAAATGTCGACACAATGCTTCAATTATCAACCACACACAGAAAATTATATAAAAATGATTTTTAATTGGAAAATGCAGCCATTGAGGGCTCTGGGTATATTAACCTTGCAACCTCAGTTCTGGGTACACTAACCTTGCAAACTCACACCGCGCGTTGTGCGCGGTGATCCCCTCCTAGTATCATATCAATAGAACAAAGCATCTCGGCAACGAGGAAACGACGACACTGATGTCTGGACATATATTGGGGTACATAATTAGTTCGACGGTACATTTGGCATGTTCATGACGTACCGGTGGTTGAAAGCTTTTTTATTTTACAATTTAACAAGCCTTGCAGTCTATTTGAAAGCATAGGAGAGAGAGAGAGGAAAAATAAAAAAAAAAGAGTGTAGAAATTTCTTACTCTTTCTTTTTTCTAGACGCAATAAATTTTAAGCTATAAAACTTCTACTGCATATTAGGGGGAGGGGCGATCCAAGGAAGTCAAGAGAAAAATTGGGGGATTGAATCATCGTTGATCCAGATTGGTGCTTACGCGTTCACTGGCAAAATTTTTTTCAAAAAATTCTGAATCTAAAATGTAGGTAAAGGGATGGATTTGATCCCTTGATCAACATTCAATTAGAATCTTAAGATTCACCGGATAACCAACTACTCTAATAAGAAATTTCTTACTCTCTGGAGATTATTGAAGAAAGCCAACAAAAAAAAAAAAAAGAGAATCGAATCATTTGGGACGATTTTAAGTTAAAAGAAAATTTCATGTTTCTGAAAGCAGAGAGAAATAACACTGGAAGAAAAGATTTGAAAATGCGCAACTGACCTTCCAGAAAGCCAAATAGCAAAGTTTTAACGACAAACGATTCTCGGCAGATATCTTTCTATCCTACACTTCCAAACTAGGCCTCAATCCAATGCATGTCACTCGCAAATTTTAATGTATGAAAATATTTAGTGAGTTTGTTTGGACAACAAGAATTTGGAATAAAAATTTCAGATTTTGTTTTGCTTGCATCAGACACACAATTTCCAATCACCTTTTTATCTCATATACATCACATCACAAAAAGTGCTACAGTAACTGGATCAAATAAATCATCCAAATAAATTCTTATCCAAACAAACTCAGTGTGTTTTTAACATTTTGTTACATTAATAATGCCTATATTTATTATATTAAACCGTTAGTGTCTATATCTATTGAATTTGTTTCTATATCCTAAGGTGTGGGGACAGAAGAAACTCCTGATCATGAAGTCATATGGCTGGCAATGGGTGACGTCACATAATTGGTCATTCAAAACGAATAAACGCAATCCAAGGAAGGGTTAGCCACAAATCCACGTTCTGCGGTAGTAGGTGCACCTGAGAAAGTCGGTATTAATTTTCCGTTTCTTTATTCCTATAAATCTAAATTGGTACCCTCTGACTTCTTCTCCTCGGCGTTCCCTTGTTATTTATTTATTTATATATCTTTTCACCGGCGGATCCTTTCATAGCTGATGCTTGAACGTAAGCTTGAAACGCCAAGGCCCTAATTTACAATTTGTGAACGAACAATGAAATAAAGGTTTTGGATAAGTAAGATTCATTATTATAAAGATATATTCATCGAGACAAATCACGCAAAAAACATTTTTTCTTCTTTTCATAAGTATCAACAGCAATTTCCTACTTATTTATTGATACTCGAATCCATAACCTAACCTATCAATTACCGGTGAAATATCTTAACAACTAGACTACGTTTCATTGTCACGTAATGTAATAACTTGACATACTACTACTTGAAAGAAGGATAACTACTAGTTTTTTTTTTTTCCATTGGATCACAAAAGAATGCCATATTAACAAGTTTGGATTGAACAACTATTTTTGTTCTTTTTTAATCTTTTTATAAATACAACGGGAAAAATAAACAATGCAATTACTTTATGAGTTTGTTTAACGAGTGTTCATCGAATTTTAACTAAGATAAATATACGAATAAATACCTTGAAAAAGTGAAGCTCAATCGGAAAGCATATAATTGTAATAGAGGATAATAATTGTTAGTATGTGCATGCATATAGCAGATAAAATCTGATTTAGGTGTATCAATAAGTCCCCACTAGACACATTTAGAAAAACTCTTACCCTAGCATTTGTGACATAAAAGTATTTTCAAGTAGAATGATCCTATTTAATGTTAACGATTTGATATATGTATGGTAAAAAATTTATTGAGAAATGTATTCAAGGAAAAGTATAAATTTCTTGGGGAAAAATGTTCCAAACAAGGGTAAAAAGGTGATTGACAATTAACATGCTTTATGCATCTGGTGATGCTATGATTGTATGAAAATGAAATATTTGTTGCACTTGGAAAACAAACACTCCAATAATCTACTGTGTGGATGCGTCGTTTACCGGAGGCAAAACATTGACAGAGCAAACACTTGTACTTGTTTTGGCAAAATACGGTACTGTGAGTTCTGCCGTGATTGTAGTTATTACCTGCTTCAATAGAGAAACTTTTATTTTTCTTTAAGGATCCGAATCTGTGATTTTCATTAATAGTGAAAGTATAGGAACCAAAGCGTCCGGCTTTGAAATTGTATCTGATATGATATACTAATTAGATGATCAAAGAAGGTATCTAAAATGTTCAGATCTGAATACGATAGGGAGCCAGACTAAGTTATAGTACGAAAATAGGCGCGTGAAACATGTTACGGCAGCAAATGATCGAGCATTCTACACTTGAATGTAATTTCCAAAGTTCTGCATCAACAATATGATTTGACCAGAAGGAAGAAAGAAAAATGTGGAGAAATTTAGTGGCGAGCTTCTGTTTAATGACCTAATGCTGCTGCTACTGTTATTTGTCTTCTATTTCTATTTCCAGGAAGGAAAATGTGGAGGAATTGAGTATGAAAATTCTACAATGACTATTGCTTATTGTGAATAGAAACTTGCAAGATTAAAAAGTGAAATTTACTTGTAAAAGCTGCATGTGAAATTATGATATTTTATTAAAAAAAAACTGAATGTGAGAACGAGATTTTGAATGAAAGAATTGAGTTAGACACTTAATAAATAATAAATAAAGATGGGCAATATAATAAAGGGTTAAATGCAAAAAACCCTCCACAAACTATATACCCAGTTGCAGTTTACCCCATAAACTATAATAATAGGCCAATTTGCCCCCTTGAATGATATGTTTGGACAACACTACCCCTACTATCTTAAATCATTCTTCTTTTTTTCTCTATTAGATTTTTTAATTTTTTCCTTTTATTTATTTTCTCCATCTCTCGTGGAACTAGCCAACGTCTCTCTCCGATGTGAAAAGACTTACATCAAAATTTTTAATATTTTTTAAACCGCTTTTTTAATTTGTTTATTTGTTAAATTCATTCTTAATAATTTGTCATAAACTCTTTATTATTACAAAATATATGAAGCTTATATTGTAAAGTGTATTAATCTAGTAATTCAACAATTTAAGTACCTATAAACTAATTAGGAGTTCACAGTTACTCAACTACTTATAATAAAAGTAACATATTATATATCACATAAAAAAGAAAAGTTAGCAATTGTTATTGTAGTGAAATAAAAAATAAGAATAAGCAACAATAGTAGTTCATTTTTTTTTGTTATTGATACTACTAATAATTGATTAATCAATTTCTCTATTTTGTTGTTATATATTTGAAAAGTTCAATTTCTTAAATGACATTGACTTCAACATTTGGACAAAAAATCTTGTATTCCATAGATTTTTTTTTTATAAAATATTGACATACAAAATTAAGAAATAAACAAATTTTGACTAATCTAGTCTACTTATTTAAACAATGTTTAAAGAAAAAAAGGAAGAATTTAAAAAGAAAATGATAAGGAAAAAAGAAAAATAACAATGCTTAAATAAAAGGGGTAGATTTGTCCAAACATATCATTCATGGGGGCAACATGCCTATTATTATAGTTTAGGGGGTAAATTGTAATTGGGTATTTAGTTTATGGGGTTTTTTGCATTTAACCATATAATAAATAGCACTAGTACAAGACAATTCTCGAAACAAAAAAATATTTAGAATAAGAGTAGCTATGTCCAAAATCCAAAATCAACTATGTCGCTATTATTCATTTCTTGTGGCGGCTGGGGAGTTTGACTTTCTCTGTCTCCTTTGCTGCCTCATTTTTTTTTAACCTTCTTCTATCGTTAATTAATTGCTCAGGCAGGAGGGCCGTCGTTAATTAATTTATGAATAAATGGGAAAGAGTTTTCAAAAGGTCTTAACCAATTTTCAACGAAAACTGAACAAATAGATTGACAAGAACTTGGGCAGACAATCAGATAGTTTGCAATTTGGCTGAGAAATAAATACAATTTTTGGAGGGAAAAAGGTACAGTTTCGGAAAATAAAATGTTAAGTCATGACGACCAAGTGTGTTCAAAAAGGATATTACTTGTATATATATTTTTACAATAATCACTATAATATTTTTTATAATATGATATATTTTAAATAAAAAGATAGTTCAAAAAATAAAATTAATTTAAAAATATATTTGTGATACAAATAAATATTAATTTTTAATGGCCAGTTCAAACCTCTTTTGAATTGAAAAGGATAATTGATTTCACTATCTTCATGTTGCATCAGAACTTCTCAATATTACTGTTGGGTTTGGATTTTATCCCACCAGTCGTATCGGATTTGAATTTTATCCCACCAATCGTTATTTGGGATAAAACCCAAATCCAATAAAATAAATGATTAGTGGGATAAATCCCAAATTCGATACGGTTGATGGGATAAAACCAAGCCCAACACCTATCCCAATACCACATCTGAGTTTCCTATATTACCCTCCAAGGTCAACTTCGGGCAAAGGACCAATCATTGTATAGTAAGGGAGATTTTGGTAATTAACACTAAATTTGATACGGCATTAAAATTTGACAGTTTTCTTTTCTTTCATGTCGATTCTCCATGCAACATATTCTACGTTTCTGCTTTTTCTTCAATACCATGAGCATTTTCTTTTCTTTTCTTTTCTTTTCATGGACAGGGATCTAGTCCCTCTTCTCCTTCTCAACCAATTGTGTCATTTTGTATATATATATTGGAAGATATATTTGATCCGAGTGTAAGATAAATGTTTCACAATATGTTGAAAATGAAAAGATTTAAATTCTGTTCATATTCATTAGTGATTTTAAATGTAAATTTGAACTCTCTCATGAAAAGTTGTGTTATATATAACCGTACCCATTAGACTACTTCAATTCGTGTTATAAAATTTTCCTCTAAACCGCTAAAATTAAGTAGAACGTATTTTCTGGGTGATGTAATGAACGGATCGAGTCCAACCCCACATATGAACGACTGCAAAAATAAACCAATAAAATTTTTTACTCTTTTGACATCTACAGAACTTCTTTAATAATACACGCTATACAAATCTTAAGGCATGAATTTTTTTTGTCGAGTCAATTCCGATAACTTCCACTTTCAAAAAACAAAAAAAAAAAAAAAAAAACCCCCACTTTCTCTTGGACCTTACATCTCTCTTCACAGTGTTCAAGTGCAGTTGTATATGTTAACAAGACACTGATTAAAGCAAAGAACAGCTCTAGCAAATTTTTGAGTTTGAGTTCCTTGCGATCAGTCGAGTTCCGCTTCTGAAATAGCATATATAGCCGCAGGGCCCTTTCAACTTTTCATCATTCGGATGCTTCCACATATACATAATTATTCTTGTCACCTTCTGAAATTATTTTCTAGCTGCTGAAAACACGAGTCCTGTCCTGCTCTACGCTTGCACGGCATTGAAAATTTTACAATTTGTAATTTAAGTTATTTAACGCGAAGAAGAATGCTGCCTCTTTTCCCGCGACGGATGGGAAATGGTGTTTGGTTGAAACAAACGTAGACAATTACGAAAATAACAGTTGATGCCATATGTCAGAATTAGAGAGTTTTGTGATGTAGGAGAGTGTGTAGGTTTCAACTCTGCTGTGGTGGAGGCCGGTATCCACTTATATGCAAGTGGAGAGACATTTGATTAGCTTTTAAATTCTGTTTCAACCTCGGGGCTTGGTCTGGCGGTTGAAATTGTGAAAATGGAGCCTTATGTCCCTGATTCAAACCTTGCTGCTAGCAAATTGTGGAGGGTAAGAATAGTCTGCGGAGTTCACTCCCTGCGGGACACCCATAAAAAAAACGTATTATATTTATGGCCCTCCACCATACCAATACTAGGATTTCAACTTATCAAGTTGTACTTTTTTAAGTTCTAACTAGGGTGGCAATCGGGTCGGGTTCGTTAAGGCTTAAGTATAACAAAGAACCTGCTGACCCGAACCCGACCCGCCAACCCGAAACGGGTCAGGGAACCTGACACGAACCCGAAAATTTCGGGTGGCGGGTCGACCCAATGATCCGAAATTTAATTTTAATTTATTAATTTATCACTGTAATTTCTAATAAAATCAATTTTTCACAAAATTAATTACATCATCAAGTAATAAAAATTTAAATAAATAATTTCAAACCAAATCTAAAATAAATTAAACACCATAAAGTGTTTTATCCCAAACCAAATATAAAATAAATTAAAACAGCATAAAAGTAAAAAATAACATAATATATTATTTGTCCAAATATAATAATTTAACTTTACACAAGTTAAATAAATTCATTTAGGATTAAGTAATTAATGTCTTTGGAAAAAAAATGATTTAGTTTAGTTAGATAAAATAATTTTTATGTTTATTAAATTAGTTTTAATTCATAAACGGTCACATCGGGTCATATCAGGTCACCACGGGTTGATCCAAATTGACCTGTTTTCTTTTCGGATTCATCAGGTTCGACCCGATTCTGACCCGAAGTCTCGAAACCTCACCAAACCATTAATTTCGTGTTCGTTCGTGTGTTTTCGGGTCGTGTCAGGAATTGCCACCCCTAGTTTCTAACCTAATTCTGTTAAAGGATAAGCCGGGAACACAAATTTCTTTTTCTTTTTTTTTAGTTAATTAGAATTAGAGAAACACAAATAAATTTAATTGGTGTTAAACATATTATCTCACTTGCTATGACGAGTATTCCATTTTCTTCAAACAGCAGACGAAAATATTTTCAGTACCTTGAATCTTCCATTTGCGGGAAAAAGCTTTTGACTATGGCCGGCATATTCTTGCCAGTTGACTTTTGATCTAGACAAATGCTGCCGTTTACGTGGGGATTCATGGCATTTGTGCTTCTGGAACTTCAAGACTCAAAACATTAGAATTGGTCTTTCTGTGGTGACAATTTACTATTTTTAAACATGTTTACACCGTAATTACACGTCCTTAGTGACTTTTTTTTTTGGTCTGAGATTACAAGGAGATTGCAGCTCGTGTGCGTATGTATGTATAGGTTTGGGTAGATACAATTGGTTTTAGGTCCAATTTATATGATTATTGTATTTTGCTCTATAATTTGATGTATACACATAAATTATTTTACGGTAAAATACAAAAAACCCCGTGATTTTCCAAATGTATACTTTACCTCCCTATGATTTGGAAACTACAATTTAACTCCCTACCATTTCAACTAAAGCGAAAATCTAACAAAAACATCTAAATTAACGTTTGAACAAAAAATGCCCAAAATTGCCCCTCATAAGTCAATTCCTCAGAAGAATGTTTCATGCACTTGAGAATGGGTAAAATACCAAAAATCTCTATGTAGTTTGAAATGTACACTTTACCTCCCTATAGTTTGAAACACACGGGGTGGATCGCTTGGCAAGTGAAAATATTATCGCAATCACAACTCTCAGCAGAAGCGCGTGGCACTCAAATCCTTATTGTAGATGTTTTCTATCAGTTGAAATGACAGGGAGTTAAATTATAGGTTTCCAAATCATATGGAGGTAAATTGTACATTTGATAAATCATAGAAGAGTTTTTGGTATTTTATTCATTATTTTATTATATTTTATAACATACAACAAAAATTACATGATCGTACTTCAAACACACCAAACTTAGGTGAGTTTATATCAAATTACGAAGAGTGTACGATAAACTTGTTAGACAAAGTCGTACACTTATATCTAACGTTTAAACAACGAAATTTATTCCCACGTGAAGATATGTCTGACACATCCTTTTTATGCTATCAAATGCTATGCGATTGTACATGCCTGCGGTAAAATAGCAGGGAAACTATCGGTAGATTGTGAGTTAAACGTTACGGGTATTCAATTCCTGATGAGTGGATGTCCAAAGTGGTAGGGACGTAGGATTAACCTGTTTTGGTTCAACAGAAACCTTATACAAATAGTAGGGCAGTACTTATTTAGGACGTGTTACATATGATGATGAAATAATTTTTCCCACAATGATGTGTACCTAGTTAGATAAAAGTTATGTCTTAGAATTATGTCAAACGATACAATAACTCAAAATTTGATTTTAAGTGCTTCCTTGATTCATACAAAATGGTGAAGTTGGAAAAAAAAAAAGCATCACTTTCTCATTTATTTGTTGTTGAAATTAAAAAGCTTTTTGTAGACAATTAGACAGTGCATTACTTGGTAGGAAAAAATTCAAGCGAGTTCGACTCCTATTATCATAATGAGTCAAATCATGCCTTTGAAACTAAAGTCACTTATAGGAGTTTTTAGAATTCATTCATCAATAAAATGCTTACACCGACAACAAGATTCGAATGCACAACCCTTTACAAGGAAGCAGTCGGTCCTTATCTCGACTTATAGCCCGTTTGACAAGTAAATTTTTTAAATGTTTGTTTAAATTTTTACTATAATTGATTATAGAAGTTTTTTAAAAAATTTTTGAAATGTGTTTTTTTAAATATTTTAAAGTATATAGTTTAAAAACTTTAAAATATTTTTTGAGATTACTATAGCTAAAATTTTTAAAAAATTTATAGCAGATAAATTTGATAAAAAACTTGTTTGACAAACAAGGCCTGTATTGGCGGCAATGGTCCTTTTTCCTTCCTTGCCAAAGGCTTGTGAGCCCTCGTCAATTCGGTCTGATTCTGCCACGTTTCCGCATTTATGGCATGAACATTTGAGGCCTTACACTTTGCGTAATTATTTTGGCAAACTAATTGTAACACTAGTCGTTATTGAAAAAAGAAACCACAAAAAAAAGCCAATTAGACAACTGCCCCCCCTGCTATAAATTATAGTCACTCCGGCACCGATTCCACTCCATCACCCAACCCACTCAATCAAACCAAACCAAACCAAACCTCCCACTCTCAGTTGATTCCAACACAAACGCGCCCTCCACACCGTCATGGATCTTCTCCTGCTAGAGAAGACCCTTTTGGGACTGTTTGCAGCCAGCATAGTTGCCATCGTTGTTTCTAAATTACGGGGCAAGAAATTCAAGCTGCCTCCAGGCCCAATCCCAGTTCCCATTTTCGGAAACTGGTTACAAGTTGGTGATGATTTGAACCACCGCAACCTCGCTGACTACGCCAAGAAATTTGGAGAAATCTTCCTTCTGAGAATGGGCCAGCGCAATCTTGTGGTGGTATCATCCCCTGAACTTGCCAAAGATGCCTTGCACACCCAGGGGGTGGAGTTCGGCTCCCGCACCAGAAATGTGGTGTTTGATATATTCACCGGCAAAGGCCAGGATATGGTCTTCACCGTCTACGGCGAGCATTGGAGAATTTTTGAAAAATTTGAAAGTTTGGATAAGAATAACAACAAATCTTCCTAGTTATATATAGAATATCACTTGTTTATATATCACAATTTTTATAATTTAACACCTATGAATATAATAAGATGATAAAGTTTTAATAAATTTACATCTGGGACACAAGAAATAATATGAGTTAAAGCCCAAACAAAATGAGAAATAATATAACAATAAAAATGACAAAATTAGTATAACAATTAACATAAGAAAATCAGTAAGATTTGGACTTTTTTCCTTGGGAGATTGTTCATAAAAATGGGATCCAACAATTATAAATGAAAATCACATGCATATATAATCTATTGTATAATTTAAATTAAATTTAGTTCACGTATAAAATGGTCCTAAAATAATTAGTACACTGTGATACAATGTTATTTTAACAACAAATTTTTTTTTTACTAAAAGTCTCAAATATCCATGACATATGTATGAGGGATATTTTACCATATTTGTATCTCACATCTAATCATTAAAGTTAATTTGAGGAAAAATATTTTTGACAATAGAATTATTTTGAATTTAGTTAACAAGTTGATATTTTTTAAACAATAAAAGTGAAATATTTTGGGAACTTAGTTGTTTATTTTCCCATAATTAAAAATTGGTATAGTTTAGCAATTGTTGCCATTGACTTTTCATTATGTAGACTAATTTTTATCAATGCAAATTTAATTTTATTAACAAGAATTGAAGTTCCATTGATCCGAGGATTGGCATTCTATTGCTATTATTTTATATGTAAATTTTTAACCTAAGATAAATAATAGCCACTTAAAAAAAAGAAATTGGTGCTCAATTGATTGTGGTGTAAAATATTAGTATACAATTAACTAGAGCTTGAAATGGAGTTAAATTTATTTAGTATTTTACTGCTAACAACTTTGACCCCATTTAATGGTTAAAGAAAAAATAAAAGAGACGTAGAGATTGGGATTGGTTCCCTAGTGTGAAAAAGGAAAGTTCCTCAAAAGTAATGCTGCATGAAATTCTGGATGCATATGAAATTAGAAATGTGATAACTTTGCAATTCATTCTCATTCATGATGAATTTCTTCCATTCTATATAGAATTGTAATTTTTTTCATTTAGCACGAAAATATTCTTTTTTTGTCATATTGATGGCTTTTGCTTTTAAGATTATCTATATGTCAGTGGTTAGTATTATTGACAAGGTTAGAGGTCATGGAAAACGTTACTAAGTTTAGGAGAAATTATGTATTGTAAAAATGGTTTAATAATTTTCTACTAAACATAACTATTGCATACAAAAGGAAAAGATATTTGATTTTATTTTGCTTTGATTAGAAGAACTTGTACCAGTAATAAAGGCAATTTCAATTTCACAATCAACGTACACATGATTGAAGTAATTTTTTAGTCAACTAGACTAATATATGCCATAAAGTAGTAAGATTTAGTCATTTGTGAATTGATGATTTTAACAGTTTACATAACATTCATCTATAAAAAATTATGATTATTATAAAATGACGTTTTATAATAATTTACATACCATTTTCCAATAAAAAAAGAGTTTGATAGAAAAAATATGGATACAAATCCGTAATGTTAATGATACAAAGTATATCTGAAAGTCACAAAACTTAACATATGGGTAATTTTACTATAATTTTCAACGATTATGCTACGTTAATACAACTTTAATTTTTATACGTGTGGCCCAGAAAATAAATTTACTAAAATTTTACCATTTTACTAAATTCATAGGCATTAATATATGAAAATTGTGATGTATAAGTAAGTGCTATTTTCTATACAACTCGAAAGATTTGTTGTTATTATAATACAACTTTAACTTTGCTTGTGACCCAGTAAATAAATTTCTTAAAACTTTACCATTTTATTATATGCATAGGTATTAATATATGGAAATTGTGATGTATAGATAAGTGCAGTTCTATATATAAGTCGAAAGATTTGTTGTTATTGTCATCCAAACTTTCTAACCCTTCACAAATTCAAAAATAATTCAAAAATTTTAATATGACAAATTATTCTAACATATTTTATAAGGTCATGTGCAAAAAAAAAAAAGTTTTCATAGTATATTTAAAATGCTTAAAGCATATAACATTTATAAATGATACGTACAATTGTGTACCATACATTGACATTACGAGTAATTACTAACTATAATACTAAGTTTCAATCATTAATAAAAAAAATCTTAGCATTATTTCAAATAAACTTCCTAATACTTGTTTCATATAAGTTTTTTTTAAGTAAAATAGTAAATTTATACTACAAATTAGTAGGTTTTGACCACTATCAACAATATTTACTATTAATCTATAAAAACTTACTATTATTTGAACTAAATTTACTCTCAAAAAAGTAAGTTTTGGATATAGAGTAGTAATTTATTTCAAAAAAAAAAGAAGTTCCATATTTATTCTAATTTACTTTTTGAGACATAAAAGTTACTAATTTATCAAGTTAATTTACTATTTTTTATGTAAAACTTACTAACCAAATTTTTAGGTACTATCTTATTTAGGTGACCAATCCAATAGATAATCAAATAGTCACTAAAAGTGTTTTTACCTGTTATATTAGGTAAAAACAGTTTCGTTATTATAACTATCGTTACTTCAGACTTTTCCTAGTTTATATTAGCGGTAGCGCACTAATAGAAGCATCCTACTCAGCCACCAACCACCAAACGTGCAAGTAAATGAAATCCAATGATTATGAACCACTTTTTATTTAAACCTTTTCGGCTGGAGTTGACGAATTGCTGGATAAGTAGCTAAGGTTTGGTATACCTTTTTAGTGTTTCCGCCTGTAAAAGCATGTAGTAGTGGATAAAGATCATGTAAATGAAGCAATCCTGCCACATTTTTATGCCAACATTCACCATTTCTGAAAAAAAAAAAAAGGTTTCTTAGTCAGAAGTAAAAGGTGAACATTCATTTCAGAGTTATGCTTCTCTGTCTGTCTCACTTTGGTAGTCTCGTTTTATTTTTTTAATTCATTCCAAATTATAATACACTTTTTAATTGAAGAATATATTCAACTTTTAACTTCTCTAAATACCTTTTTATTTAACGTACTTTGTTATTAGTTAGTGTAACATACCTTCTTCAATAATTACTTTGATTCATGCCGTGCAACCTTGGACTGGAATCACTACTTTACTAGGAGTGCTTTACAAATCTATAAAGAATTCTGCTCATCTTTATGCCCACAATATGATTTCCTTTTGCCTGAAATGAAATTTGATGAAAGGAGTAGAACATCAAAGCATGATTGAAAAAAGATCAGATGACACTCTTGAGATTTTTACTTTCCCAAACTTGAAACTCTGCGACGACTTTAAAGTACTAAATAACTTTTCATGAACAGCTATTGAGACAACGTTATGGTCAATTGAATGGGGCATTGCGGAATTGGTAAACCACCCACAAGTCCAGAGGAAACTGCGACAAGAGATTGATACCGTGCTTGGACCTGGTGTGCAAGTCACTGAACCCGACACCCTCAAACTACCATACCTTCAGGCTGTGGTCAAGGAGACCCTCCGACTTCGAATGGCAGTTCCTCTTTTGGTGCCTCACATGAACCTCAATGAAGCCATGCTGGGCGGGTATGATATTCCTGCCGAGAGCAAGATTTTGGTCAACGCTTGGTGGCTCGCAAACAACCCAGAGAACTGGAGGAAGCCTGAGGAGTTCAGGCCAGAGAGGTTTTTGGAAGAGGAGTCTAAGGTTGATGCCAATGGCAACGACTTCCGATATCTTCCATTCGGTGTTGGTAGGAGAAGCTGCCCTGGAATCATCCTTGCATTGCCAATCCTTGCTATCACTTTGGGACGCTTGGTGCAGAATTTTGAGCTGTTGCCTCCTCCAGGGCAATCCAAGATTGATACCGCAGAAAAAGGTGGCCAATTCAGTTTGCACATTTTGAAGCATTCCACCATTGTCTTGAAGCCAAGATCCCTCTAGACGTGATTGTAATTGTGTGATAAAATCGGGTTTATTGCAAATTATATTTTAAAATTGTCAGTGTGTGATTTTGAAACTCTTTTACTCTGTAGACATTCGTTCACAATCCTTTTTGTATTCGCAAAGACGTATTTTTACCGTAAATCTGTCGTACAATTCAGGATCTGATATAAGCATTACCGAAGTCAAAGAACAGCATGCCTACAGCCCATTACGTTTTAACTTTCTGAACTTTGTACCGTTTCATGTACTGCATCAACTAAATGACTAAAGATTTGCTGTCCACCAACCAGCCCCCAGCCCAACTATCACCCCCATAAAAAATGAAAATAAAAATTTAAATAGGAAGAAGAAGAAGATGATGATGATGCTGGGAGACGAGGTCTAGGATTTAAGTATTGGTCGTTCTATGGTTTTTTTTTTTCTTTTCTCCTTCGTCCTTTGGGTCCGACATATCATTTCACGCGTCAATATCATTGGACATAATTACGTCCGATATAATTGTGTCCTTATCGGACGGTTCTAAATCATTCTCAGTACCAAACTCTCGACTCATGACACCAACTAGGGGTCTCTTCCAAGTTCGTAAGGAATCATATGATCAACGAGTTTTCTCCTGCCACTCTTTCTCCTTCGGCAGTAAAATGGGCTATTATTGTCACCATCAGCTAGGCCTGTCAATAGGCCGAGTCCGGGTCAAAATTCATTATTTTAGACCCGAAACCGGCATAACATATGGGACCCGGACTCGACCCGTTTATCCGACGGGTCTTCTATTTTATGTTTCGGATCCGGATCCGACGAGTCTCGAGTCCGGGCCGAGTCTACCAGAAAAAAATATCAAAACTTACAATTTCTAATAAAAATGAGAAAAAATATATTTGTAAACTAATTTCTAACTAATACACAAAAAAAATCAAATAAGAAAAGAAATCAAATTGACTTTACTCAAATACATCACCTTAATCAAATTATATTGATAAATATACATATATTTTTTAAATTATTAATCCATTTATATCCGGATCCGGATCTAATATGGGTTGGAATACTATATTCCGTATCCGACCCATTTTTTTGTTTGACAAAACAGATCCGGATCCCGGTTCGGGTAATGGAATTAAATCCCTACCCGTACCCGCAATAATTTCACGGATCCAGTCCGGGTCCGAGTCTAAACCCGGACCGTTGACAGGCCTAGTGATAGAGTGCAAAATTACTATTCAATTTATGATTATTTCCCCTTGATTGTAGCCAAATATTGTATTAATTGATGGATTCTACTTATATTTGGTTAATGATACTCATTATAGGAACTTGATTGTAGCCAAATATTGTTTTAATTGATGGATTCTACTTATATTTGGTTAATGATACTAATTATAGGAAAAGGAGCAAAACGTGATCAAAAGGAACAATTCTCCAGTTAGTTTGGTGGTGACACGATCAGGACCTGCTTTTAAATCTAAAAGACTCGAGAATTTTCTACGCACAGGTTTCCTAATTCGAGTCAACTATGAACAGCTTTTGAAAGATTTGGGAAGACGTTAATTATATTTATTAGCAGTAGTATTACATTAGAAAACATGAAATATTATCTTTTGTATTTTCTTTTTCTAATTAGGCAATGTGCTTTTATTATTAGTAGTAGTTATCAAGTAGAAAATTGAGGGAGAGAAAAAGCCGGCATTTCGCGTGATTAATACTTCGGGAAGCAAGAAACGAGGGGGAGCCATCGTGGCTAGTCCCGTGTCAAGGAGGGGAGCCGCTTAGCTTTCTCTTGGTTTTTCAGTTTCTTTAGTTTTTTTTTTAATCAAAAACTTATGTGGCTGGCTTTGAGAAACATCGTGTGAATTATTCCAATTGGTCATGTGCAACTAAGTTCTCTTTTTTAGTCAAGAAATAACGAAAGATTTGGTTCATCTACATCTATGAGACCTAAGTGTTTTTATCTATTTCTCTTTTTTGTTAGTATTCGTATATTTTCCTATTTAATTTCTCATGGTTGTGTTTGTTGTTTGGATATCATGGGCACCCAATATTTAATTCAACTTAATAAACTGAAGCTAATTAAGATAATTAAATCTGTAATTGTTTAATTATCTTAAATTAGTGGCGACTAATGTGATTGGTGCCATGTTAGAAAGATATACGATCTGATTTAAATAAATCCTGGTAATGTATGTATTTATTGATTAGAACAAGGGTTTTCTAGTTTCTAACGTAATCAAGAAATTAAATTTTATGAGCATACCTAAGGTTGTTTCTTTGTTAGAGAAGTAGTTAACAGGCATACTTTAACTATCGAGACACTAAAGAAAAACTGATTGTTTATCATGTATATGACAACTATAATCTATTTATTAGCAAATAATTTAGATAATTATTGCATCGATGATCAGTTATTTGAACCACTTCCGGAGTTATGTCTTTGGCTAGAGCTTGTTTATTCTTAAGTTGAATTTAATTTGCTTTAGTTTAATTATTTTCAGTCACATTAATTATTTACTTTAGTTTTAATTCTCCAAACCTCTCCCCTCCCCCCCCTCCCAACAACACCAATTAGCTTTTACTTAGAAAGAAATAGATTTTTCTTCTAATTCTTGTGGAGATGACCCTACTTGTTATTATACTCATTTATATCTTTTTGTGAGTAGAAATTTATTATTGCACAGACTCGACTCTTGTCATCTAGCACTTTAAAACATCAGACATTTTGAAGCAAATGTCTTGTTTATGTACAATTTACAAAATTTAAATGGTGAAAATTTGAGGAGTTTGTTTATTATGAAAAATTGGAGATCCCTTGTTATTTGTATTCATCTTTGTTCCTCCATTTCACAATTAGTTTGCATGCATTTTAATGGTGAATTTGTCCACAATTTATAATCAGTTAATAAAACATTTTGTAATGACATCGAAAATACACTTTGAGGGTAATTGAGGCAACTCTCTTTTAAATAAATCATGAAAAAGAAAATGCTACAGCCGATTGACAGTTTGAACTTTGGAGGCACCATATTCACAGCAACAAATCACAAGCTTTGGTTTATCCAGCAGAGACATGAAGAAAAAAGATAGCGCCGAGATGTGATCCAGCTAAGAATCAAATGAATTTCAAACGGCAGTAATACTAATTAGGGGCCAACAAGGTTTATCCAATAAGCTTTCTCGATCGGCTTAGAAAAAAGAGTACTGCTTCAATTTCCTCCAAAGCTCCTACTCGGCGTTTCACTTGAAAGTTTCCAAGTCAGTGCTGGGCTTTTCTTACTGCTTCTTTTCCTTTTTCGAATTGTTTGCTCCTTTTGTGCTCGAATGCCGAGCCTTTGATTTGTGGAAAAATAATTTAGTGAGTAAATTCCAGCACTTGGTTTTCAATGTCAAAGACCTCGAATGTTCTGGTGATTCTTGGAGTAGAAATCAAAGAGGAAAACTATTACTTCGATCCTTAATTAATAAAGGAGAACAATTATCCTGTTTTGTGAGAAATTTTAAGTGGCATGGCACAAATGTTAAAATCCCATGTTTCACCTCAACTTCTAATGACTAGTAACATGTCACGTGCTTGCACCATGATCATATTAGCCTAACATATACCATCATTGAGATACTAAATTCTTTGTTAAATTTTGACTTTAAGCATCAAAATAGAGCAATTCTTTTGGTTTTCAGTTTCTTTAACTAGTTCTTTGAAAAATACTAGTTTAGGTGTACATGTATTGCACGCTGCAGTTGCTATGACTAATAACTTATTCAAAATTCTTTAAACAATTGAACTTTAAGTAAATGAAACAAACCTTCAACGAAGTACTCAAATTCATATATAAATCAAAATGCACTCTTCTAGTAACCACTCCAACACTATATAGTCTTGACAAATAGACCATAGAATTCAAACAGAACAGTAAAATGTAATAAGAAATAAATGGGCTAAGGAGGTTCTGATTTAATGATTAAAGTACTTCAAGAATAAAAGGTCCTAGATTCGATTCTCTGAATTTTTACTTCTCATGTATGAAAATAAAGTATGAACGTAAAAATGAGCTAACCTAGTGTTTCAAAAATAAAAAGAAAAAGAAACCACCTAAAAATACAAAGGATCCTCCGTTAAGAATTTATCTTCATACCCTTTGCAAGGTCATTGAAAACACACATTGAAGATACTTGACGTTAACCTGTTTTTAAATAAAATCATTAGACATTAGAAAATATAGAGGCAAGAATTATTAATGCCGGAAATTTAAGAGGTACTTTGAAGACATCAAAAATACGCTTTGAAGGTACTTGAGGCAGACCCTTTTTGTTAAATAAATCATTAGCATTAGAAAATTAAGAGGCAAGAATTATTAAAAATAGAAATATTAAAAAAATCTACCTAATATCCTTTTAGGATAAATTTTATATACACAGATAGTATATATATACAAGCGAGGCTGAATACTTTTACTGAATGCTACCTTTACTGTGGAAGAAATAAGTACATCAGCAATTCTTTTTGTTCCTTGGATACTTTTTGCGGTGGAAGGTTTTTGCACTGGGTGGAAGCAGTAAGGAACTATTCTTTGCTTTAGCAGAAGCAACAAGACTTTGACAAACTTGTATGCTTTTGCAACAGGGAAGAGGTTGCTACTTGATCCGGGGCCTCACAAATTATGTTTTATACAATTTCGTACAAGTTGATCTTTGGTGTAAATTAGTCGGATTTCGATGTGAATCAGATCCAGTTTAATTTAAATCAGGTGCAGTTCAGTGTATATTAATTTGTTATTATTTGGTATAAATCAGAGACACAAGTCGCCTGTCTGTGTTGTCACCTCCTCCACAGTTTTCCGTCTGCATTGGATTTTGACTCTTGTAATTTTGACTAATACCACATTTCAAAATAGTAATGCAATTCCATCTATATATATGGCTATAAGTGATGTCCTGAATCAAAAAACGATGGAGGAAATTGGACTGCGACGTGGGTTGATAAGAGAATTCTTGCAAAATCTTGTACATTTGGTTACTTGAAACAGGACATTGATAAACATCAAATGAAAACGCGAATCCAACAAACAAGGCTTGATAAGCTGTGATTAAAAATGCCATATCAACTAGAGTTTACTGATACGAATTCAATCATGAAGTTGATGTCAGTTTCATTAAATTAACAGAGTGGGCATTCAAGCAATAGCATTTGCTAATCATTTTGTTCAAGTTCTTTTTGCAGATCATATATGAGTTGACTTCACTGTCCACATTTCTACTTGTTTTTCTCGGCAAAGATGATTCAAGTACCTGCACACTTCCTTTGTGTTTAAATAGATGTCTCTTACTGCACCACAAATGTCCAACAGCCTGAAAGATCCATCCAAGACCTGTTCTTCTCATTTTGCAAGTCTTTCATCAGAGAGAGCTTGTTAACTGAAAGGGAGATCATCCAGACACTAAGACAAGTTGAGGCCATCCAATATTTGGCATGCCAATGGATGTGAACTTGAGGATGGCATCTCTGATGACTTCATCTTTACAGGTATTTCTCAGTAGTCACGATAAGAGGGTGAGATGAAGGAGACAAACTAACCAAACGAGAATGGTTAGAGAATTTTGGATTTGGAGCAGAGGTTGCCATCTTTTTCCCTTATGCAGAATGTAACAAGTAGATATAGAATGTTTCGTCTTAGAAGCATGTAGGTGGTAAAGAAGACAGATGGAATCTCATCCTCTGTTAATTTAACACGAATAGCCAAATATCTGAGGTTTGAGAAATGACAGCAATTGTTGCAGTCAAGCAATAGCAATGAAAGAAGGGGGGGGGAGGGGGGCACACATCCAAAAGAAGGCATAACAATATGATCAGTGTGGAACAAAATTTGCATTAAAAGCTAACTGATTTAATCCTTTTCTTTGGAATACAGGGATAACAACACTTTTCTGTGTCCTACTTGGCCCGACCAGGTACAAAAGGACATCTGGCCAAATTAAAACAGAGAGGTCGGAGCTGCAATCTTTGTGATTTCAAGACCACTTCATTATAAGTAATGTTCATTACTACCGGAGATAGGCTGGAAAATTTCTTTCCAATGCGGTTCAAGAACTAAGTAGAAACTGCTGAAACCAGTCACATTGCTCGAAAATTGGACTGCGACGTGGATTGATAAGAGAATCAGATGCGTGATAATTGTTGATTTCTTGCAAAATCTTGTACATTTGGTTACTTGAAACAGGACATTGATAAACATCAAATGAAAACGCGAATCCAACAAATAAGGCTTGATAAGCTGTGATTAAAAATGCCATATCAACTAGAGTTTACTGATACGAATTCAATCAGGAAGTTGATGTCAGTTTCATTAAATTAACAGAGAATGGGCATCATACTGGGAGGCATGACAATAATATTTAGCTCAGCATAACGACATTCAACACGAACAGCCAAATATCTGAGGAAATGATAGCAATTGTTGCAGTAGTCAAGCAATAGCAATGGAAGGGGGGCTACACATTCAAAAGAAGGCACAGCAATATGATCAGTGTGGAACAAAGTTTGCATTATAAACTAATTCAGAGCCAGCTACAACGTCACAGAAGAGCAGGCAATAGACATGAAACTTCCAATACTAGGCTAATTTGCAAGAAATTCCTGGGAAGCGTTTTGAATGATTTTTTTATATAATTATTTTTCAAATTGTCATTTCCTCTACTTATTTATTTATATATTTGTAAATTCACATGAAAAAATAGATGAATTAAGGTTTGATGCTATGTAAAATATCAGTTTGATGAACTAAGGTTGACCTTGTATGTTCCCATTTAATTCTTGATCATGGTCAATTGATTTCCATAATTTCATCTCTCCGACGTTCCCATCCACCAAGTGGGATCCTCTCTTGAATAGTAATTGGTGCTTCAATTCAGTTTTCTAAATTGCCCTCTGATTTAACATAAATAGAAGGGCTCAAGCTGGCTGATTCTTGTGCTCTGAGTCCTGTCTGAGATTTACAGATACAAAGAGCAATGGAAAAAGTATCAATGGGCACAACTTGTAGTCGACTGCAGAACAGTGAGAAAAAATATGTTGCCTGTTATAGAGCTAAGATACAACTTCAAGAAGGATGCAAGCACCTATCAGGGTTCAGCTAATCCACATCTTTCTGCTGCTTTGAACTACAAGCAGTATGGAAGATATGGCAAATTGAGTTCCAAAAGAAGTAAAATAGCACCTCATTAACATGTCTACAAATTGCTGAATTGGTTGGACAGTTTAACAGCATCAGACAGACAGGGAAGATCTCAGGCTTTGGCCATCCGAGGCAGAGAGCAAAAGGGAATTCCATCCCGGATGTTTTCATCTGATTTGATTGAAACAGGATCTGGTTCAGCAAGGGATCATAGGACTTTCATTACAAATGATAGTAAGACCGAGCTATCAAGGTTAATGTTGATCTCTAAGTGCAAAATCACTGCAAAACACAAAAACTCAAACTTAAGAGACTCGAGACAGCATGTAGTCAAGAACAAAGCCAGCGCCTAGTTGCATGACATTTTTGTTGTATTTGAAACACTAAAATAAGAACTTAACATGAAGAGAGCAGCAACCAACAAGTATAGAAGGCAAAATGAGCTTAATAGCCTTCATCATAGCGAACGAAATAATTGCAGCAAGTAGCAACCAGTATGCTTGGCAGTCTTGACTAACCATAGCAATACGCTTCAAAACTTGCAGCTTAGACTTGATTGTGTTAGAAGATACTATAACAAGTCTGTGCAGCTTCACTGCATGAACAGTACATCTTCCATGGCTGCTCCCAAAAACATTTCCATTATGAGAAGATTTCTCAAGTTTTGGTTGTAATATGTTCAGAATCAAAGTAGTTAAAAGTCAAATTTGAGTAGTAAAAGAAGAGCAATATATCTGAACTTACCGGACTCTTAGAATCAAAAAACCAATTTGATGACCAACAGCTCTGGGAAACTCCTGAAATGTTTACGACTAGAAAATCACAACCAAGGAAAAGTGAGACAGAAACCCATCATTTACAAGACTTATCGAACAAATCACTAATCAAATGGTTCAAGAAGCTTGATAAATGCGCCTTCAAGAGGCGATTAAACTCTGCAGCAACTATTTATCCCCCTAGAATCATAAGCTAGGGAGCTGATCACTTTAGCAATCACATCTTACATCCACAAAAGCAGATATATAAAATCAACAAACTAAACTTCTAGTGCGTATTTCATATTGATGGGTAACTTGTAGGAAATGCAAAACAAAAATTAATGAATACCAGCTATAAAAATCTAATCTATGTTCATCTCGGGGAGAGACACAAAAATCTGCCTGCTAAGTGCAGGAGGAAGGAGTGCAGTAGAGAATTGCAGGTTTAAAGTCTTATAGAAAAGGTTTGTAGAATTGCTGCATGTGGTGTCGAAGCTAAAATGTCCAATGCATTTTCAACAGTTGAAACTTCAGAGAGAGCAATCTTTCATCCTGGTGGAATCACAAGTTTAAAGAGAGTGCACCGATGTTAGCAATCATGACGCATAAAGGAGAGTAACTGACATGCATGATAAACAAAACTAAATTCTTAAATTCCACCCACATTAGTGCATATGTTTCAGTGCTGGTTCATCCAAAACATGATTCAGTTAACCCAAGAAAATCTCGCTCATTTTGGTCACTGAAACAAATATGCAACAAAAGCGTGTTTGCCTGCATTTTTAGAGTACTTAGTTGGATGAGGAGCTTTTAGATTGAAAATTTCAGGAAGGCATGTTTGCCTGCATTACAATTAAGATAGAAGAGCAAATTCCATGTCATTTTTTACTAGGAATCTTACAGAAAGAAGGTTTTTTTTTTGTTACATTTGTTCTAAAGCTAATGAGCAGGAAATAAGACTTGATACTAAGTACATCTACTAATCCATTTAAAACAAATTCGCTAACCTTACAGTACTTCTTGAAAATTTGCAAGCTCCTCATTGTCAATCTGTTTCTTTAATACAAGCTCTATCGCCAACCATACCCCCCATGATCATTAGCAGAAATTCATGGTAATGATGGCTTTTGATCTTGGAAGACATTACATAAGCTTGGGAAAGAAATTCTGGTGGGCAGTTTGTAGAGGCCAGCTGACACAGATAGAGCATTTTATCAGGTTTTACACACTAGGAAGAAAGAAAAGTGTGCCCGTAGTGTGCCATCCTAATCATTTCTGTCCAATTGAAACAGGATTTGATTCAACAAAGTTTTCAAAAGTTACAAGCTGTGTAATTCAATCAGTAAGCAAGTAAAATTGTAGATTCTAGTTCACATTTGAGCCTGAAATCATTGCAGAACAGAAAACTCGAGTTGAGACAATATGTGAACAAGAAAGCTAATCAGAAAGTTCAGAAAATTCAACAATAATTTTGTTCTGTCATTCCTACAAAAGGCTAAAATATGTCTTGTTTGTTATGAAACTAAATAGATAAGCAAGTACTAAGTCATGTTTACAATTACAGTAGTTTGGTTCCAACCACCAAGCAAGTCTTTACAGCTCATAAAATGAAAATAATAATGGACAATTTGTACTGCAGGCAAAGCATTTCACATTGAGGCATTGAGAAACAATAGAGCTGTGGGCCACTGAAGCACAATAGAGATCCACATTTAATTGCTACCAAAACACCAGTTAGTTCTAACCTCCAACTCTGAGCAGTATGCTAGAGATGACAATTTGAGTTCTAAAACATGTAAATCAGCTCCTCATTATCATGACTACACATCACTGAATCATTTCGATAGTTTAAAAGAACCATACCCCAATAGATATCTCAGACTTTGACCATCTGAGGCACAGAGGAAAAGAGAATGCCATCCTAGATGTTGCCATTCAGCCGAAGCAGGATCTTGTTCAGCAACGAATTGTAGGACTTTCAAAAAGTAAAGACAGTAGGTAAGAGCCATCGATGAGGTTCCCTGTTGAGGTTTGTGCCCAAAATCACTGCAAAGCACAAAAACTCAAACTGAAGGCGGTGAATAGCATAGAATAAAACTAATGGAAATTTTCAGATAATTGTAGTTTTTCTGTCATTGTAACTGAAGCCTCTATCAAGATGGATTCATTAAGAGAAGCAATTCACAACAAGCAGACTTGAATAACTACCAGAATGCTTCAGAACATTGCACATAGAGTTGTTCAGTTGGAAGATACTCCACCAAGTTTTGTGCAACTTCATTGCTCAAACAGTACAAACCTTCCTTTGCTACCTCAAAAATATCTTCGTGATGACAAGATTTGTTTTTTGTTTCATACGTAATAGATTAGATATTGAAGGGGTTAAAAGTCAAAATTGAGTAGTGAAAGAAGAGAAGCATATCTAAAATTACTAAAATTTTTGAACCAAAACATGAAAGTGATGACCAACAGCTGCGAAAACTCCTCAATTAACCACATTGTCTTCATGGATAAAAAGCCAAAATCAAGGAAAAGTGAGCCAGAAATCCATCATATACGACTCTGATAGACCAATTACTAGTCAAATAGTTCAGATAAGTATGCAAGTTCATTATCAAGAGACAAGAGGTAAAAGTTCAGTCCCCTTAGAATCACAATTTTAAACAGAGTGAGATGACTTTAGCAATAACAACTTAAAATCCACAGAAGCAGAGCATGTAATATAAACAGAACTAGACTGCTAGATAGGCTATTTGTAGGAAATGCAGGCCAAAAGTTATTGCGGTCTAGCCATATAGACGGTGCTGAAGAAGCTTCAAAATTCTAACCTCTGTTCGTGAAGCTATTCTTCTATCAATCCTACAAAAACAAAGCATAGAACAGAATATGAACAGAGATACAGTAAAACATCAAAGCACGAAACAGAACAGGTGCTTGGGGTCATTCTAATTGATAGTTTCAAGAGTATTACTATTATGTTGTAAGGAGTAAATGAAGAGCACCAATATTTTGGACCTAATAAGAAATGCTTATGCCGCAGCTTTGAAAGATAATAAATAGGATGATAAAAAGGGAGAAGAGAGAATTGTGAAGAAAAACCATGGGGACTTTTTAGGTTTTCTCACGAGAAGGTTAATCAGAGGGGGAAGTGAAGAGAAGGGGAGATTGATTGATTGTAAAGCAAATTAAGAAAGAGGTTATTGAAGGCAATCTTACTTGATTGAATTTGATCTGAAGATGAAAGTTGGTTATTAATCAACGTATGCGTAGGTCTTGAATGTGAGAAACTTTGGACCACTGGGAGTCGGGGCCGCTGCTCTCAGGAGTGCATCTTTCTTTTAACAGAGGAGAACCAAAAACCCACAGACGTTTTAGTTTGGTGAGACTTCTCATGGCATCCTCAGAGGGTAGATGTCCAAGCTCTTTGAAACCAAATAACCGCAGCTCTTCAAGAGCAGCGAAGTTTCCGAACCAATCTGGCAGAGCTTTTATACCTCCAAAGTCGTATAGCCATAGTGACGTCAGAGCGGTCAAGCATTGGATCTGAGGTGGCAGGGACTCCATGTGTGGCAACCCACATAAGTCTAATCCACGGGGTGCGGATGACGAAGAGGAGGATATCAATCCAGACCAATCAAACTCATTGTAAATTGAAGAATTTTCATGATCATCACCATCTTCTGAGAAGGGACCAATGCTAAGCTCCCTTAAGCTGGTTAGGAAACCAAATCCTTTGGGCGTCATGCTTGTTTTCAGTTTGGGACACCTGTATAATTCCAGCTCCAAGAGAGAAGGCGTTTGTTGCAAATTGAGCGGAAAGGAGATAAGATTGTCGCAATAAGCCACCCGAAGCTTCTGGAGAGAGGTACAAGAGTGTAGCATGTCACCTGGCAGATTCGTCAACCCATCGAAACGAGCAATCACTAGCTCTTTAAGAGACGCAAAGTTTTGCAGGGGAAGGAGTTCTCTGCATCTGTCGCAGCTATAAAATCGCAAACGCGCTAACTCGGGGAGTGTTATTGCTGACTCGGGGAGTGTTGTTGTTGTTGTTGGCAAATCCATTAACCATCGAGGAAATTGATCGCCCATAAAATTGCAAATTGCCAACTCCTCCAAATTTGGGTGGGCTTGAAGGCCATCTAACACATCTTCGTCGTTGTAGTCGTCGCCTTCTCGATCATCTGCCCACTCAAGTACCAACTCAAATAGATTTGCCTTTTCAGATAGTTTTGCTTCCTCAGCTCCTTCCTTATCCTTTACTAGTTCCAGATTGCATATCCTCAAACTGCCTTTGAGGTTCTTCAAGCTTCCAAGCTCTCCAATTCGTCGACCCTTCTCTCGACCCACGTTAAAGAACTCTAGTGTCTGAAGGCAAGTCAGCCGTCCCATCTCTAGCGGCATTTGAAATTTTTTATCAAAGGTGTGAAAGTGGAGATGTCTCAAGCTAATCAAATCGCACATCCCCTTCGGAAGAACTTTAAGAAAGTGACTTAGCCTCAGTGTCTGCAAATTATAAAGTTTGCAAACAGATTCCGGCAACGTTTGACTTCTAGAACGCTCAAAGTTGATGTACCTCAAGTGTCTCAGTTTGCCAATTGAGATTGGCAGATTCTGATTTTCTTCACCGGACAAATTCAGAACGTGCAGATTCTTCAACCTCATTAGCATATCATCAGATAAGCTACCCTGACTCAGAAACAATGTATGAAGCAAATTTGATGGACTCTCAAAAAGATTTTTTGTGCCTTCTCCAAATGAGTCTATTACAAGACAACGAACCTGATTACTATTGTCTTCTGAACCAGTCTCCGAATTAATGACTTTAGCAGACTTTGACATTATTGATGTTGCGACGTCGTGCACCATATCATGCATTTTATAATACCTTCTCCCATATTTTCCTATTTCTTCCAGCAAAGAACTCTGCAATAAAATTTCCAAGTAATACTCTCCAATTTCCTCCATTGTTTTGTTCTCGAGACCTGCATGGAGGAAACCTTCTGCCATCCAAAGTTCGATCAGCATATCCCGTTCCATCTCAGTATCCTTGGGAAAAATAGAACAATATGCAAAACATTTCTTAATGGGTGCTTGGGTCATTCTAATTGATAGTTTCAAGAGTATTACTATTATGTTGTAAGGAGTAAATGAAGAGCACCAATATTTTGGACCTAATAAGAAATGCTTATGCCGCAGCTTTGAAAGATAATAAATAGGATGATAAAAAGGGAGAAGAGAGAATTGTGAAGAAAAACCATGGGACTTTTTAGGTTTTCTCACGAGAAGGTTAATCAGAGGGGGAAGTGAAGAGAAGGGGAGATTGATTGATTGTAAAGCAAATTAAGAAAGAGGTTATTGAAGGCAATCTTACTTGATTGAATTTGATCTGAAGATGAAAGTTGGTTATTAATCAACGTATGCGTAGGTCTTGAATGTGAGAAACTTTGGACCACTGGGAGTCGGGGCCGCTGCTCTCAGGAGTGCATCTTTCTTTTAACAGAGGAGAACCAAAAACCCACAGACGTTTTAGTTTGGTGAGACTTCTCATGGCATCCTCAGAGGGTAGATGTCCAAGCTCTTTGAAACCAAATAACCGCAGCTCTTCAAGAGCAGCGAAGTTTCCGAACCAATCTGGCAGAGCTTTTATACCTCCAAAGTCGTATAGCCATAGTGACGTCAGAGCGGTCAAGCATTGGATCTGAGGTGGCAGGGACTCCATGTGTGGCAACCCACATAAGTCTAATCCACGGGGTGCGGATGACGAAGAGGAGGATATCAATCCAGACCAATCAAACTCATTGTAAATTGAAGAATTTTCATGATCATCACCATCTTCTGAGAAGGGACCAATGCTAAGCTCCCTTAAGCTGGTTAGGAAACCAAATCCTTTGGGCGTCATGCTTGTTTTCAGTTTGGGACACCTGTATAATTCCAGCTCCAAGAGAGAAGGCGTTTGTTGCAAATTGAGCGGAAAGGAGATAAGATTGTCGCAATAAGCCACCCGAAGCTTCTGGAGAGAGTACAAGAGTGTAGCATGTCACCTGGCAGATTCGTCAACCCATCGAAACGAGCAATCACTAGCTCTTTAAGAGACGCAAAGTTTTGCAGGGGAAGGAGTTCTCTGCATCTGTCGCAGCTATAAAATCGCAAACGCGCTAACTCGGGGAGTGTTATTGCTGACTCGGGGAGTGTTGTTGTTGTTGTTGGCAAATCCATTAACCATCGAGGAAATTGATCGCCCATAAAATTGCAAATTGCCAACTCCTCCAAATTTGGGTGGGCTTGAAGGCCATCTAACACATCTTCGTCGTTGTAGTCGTCGCCTTCTCGATCATCTGCCCACTCAAGTACCAACTCAAATAGATTTGCCTTTTCAGATAGTTTTGCTTCCTCAGCTCCTTCCTTATCCTTTACTAGTTCCAGATTGCATATCCTCAAACTGCCTTTGAGGTTCTTCAAGCTTCCAAACTCTCCAATTCGTCGACCCTTCTCTCGACCCACGTTAAATAACTCTAGTGTCTGAAGGCAAGTCAGCCGTCCCATCTCTAGCGGCATTTGAAATTTTTTATCAAAGGTGTGAAAGTGGAGATGTCTCAAGCTAATCAAATCGCACATCCCCTTCGGAAGAACTTTAAGAAAGTGACTTAGCCTCAGTGTCTGCAAATTATAAAGTTTGCAAACAGATTCCGGCAACGTTTGACTTCTAGAACGCTCAAAGTTGATGTACCTCAAGTGTCTCAGTTTGCCAATTGAGATTGGCAGATTCTGATTTTCTTCACCGGACAAATTCAGAACGTGCAGATTCTTCAACCTCATTAGCATATCATCAGATAAGCTACCCTGACTCAGAAACAATGTATGAAGCAAATTTGATGGACTCTCAAAAAGATTTTTTGTGCCTTCTCCAAATGAGTCTATTACAAGACAACGAACCTGATTACTATTGTCTTCTGAACCAGTCTCCGAATTAATGACTTTAGCAGACTTTGACATTATTGATGTTGCGACGTCGTGCACACCATATCATGCATTTTATAATACCTTCTCCCATATTTTCCTATTTCTTCCAGCAAAGAACTCTGCAATAAAATTTCCAAGTAATACTCTCCAATTTCCTCCATTGTTTTGTTCTCGAGACCTGCATGGAGGAAACCTTCTGCCATCCAAAGTTCGATCAGCATATCCCGTTCCATCTCAGTATCCTTGGGAAAATAGAACAATATGCAAAACATTTCTTAATGGCTGGTGATGGTAGATTATCAAAACTCAACTGAAGTATTTGCATGACACTGTCTTCATCTCCGCTCAAATTTGAAAGCTTATTCATCAAAATCAATTTCCACTCCTTCCTTCGCAATAAACCTCCCATTACACTTGCAGCTAGCGGTAGGCCACCACATTTTTTTATAATTTCCTTTTTCATGACTTGCAGTTGTTCGGGAATTTCTCCACCTGCATTGGCTTTCTCTCTGTTAGGATAGACCAACAATCATCATCAGATAGCTTTCCTAACACATAAGGATCATGTGTAGCCAAAATGGATGCAGTTTGTTGTTTACGAGTTGTCACAACACACCAATTTCCATTAGTTGCATTCAGGCCCCGTAACAAACGTAAAAGATCATCCCACAAGATTTGGCTTTCGGTCCAGACGTCATCAAGAACAAGAAGATATTTTTTTCCCACAAGTTGTTGTCTAATTTCCTGGACAATGACATCCCTACTGGTCATTTCAACATTTCTTCTCGTGAGTGATTCTAAAATCATTTTCAAAAGCCTTGTCACTTCAAAATTGTCGGACACACAAACCCAAATTTTTTTCTCAAAATGGCTATCAACTTGGCTATTGTTGTATACAGATTGAGCTAAAGTTGTCTTTCCCAATCCGCCCATCCCAAGGATGGGAATTACAGAAACGGCATTTTCTGACAAGCTTAGCAATCTCCACCAGCCTTGTTTCATCCTTAGCTCTTCCTACAACATAATGGCCAGCAATAGAATCCGTCTCTCTATTTAGTGTGACTTTAGCACTAGTAGAAGGGGGGAAACTTGCCCTTTGGAATCTGATCAGTCCAAAATCATTGGCTTCTTTATTGATCTTATACAACTTCTTGTTGATGTCCCTGATCTTAGAAGCCATTCTCCGTCGGAAAACAATATTAATGTCAGAGGACAGGATGAAGGAGCGCACCTTGCTCACAAGTTGGCGACGAAGAGCTTCATAATTCAGCTCGTCCAACAAATTCTCGGCATCAAACGCCACGGCTTCTAGCCTCTGGAGCCACAGTTGCACGGCCTTGTCATGCATTTGCTTTTCCTCAGCATCAGCCAAGACAGCTTGGATCATGGCAACAGATCCTTTCAGGGTCTCCAAATCCTCCTTGAATTGGAATAACTTGCCAATCCTTTCATTGGCAAGGGAAAGTGTCTTCTCCAACGCTACCTCTATTGTGGAAGCTATAATTGCATCAGCCATTCTTCTTGTTCCTTGGTACAGTCTTCAGATAAGAATACTCTTTTGCAATGGAAGGTTTTAGCTGTAGTTAGAAGCAGCAAGGAACTGCTTTGATTCCAATGGAAGTGACGAGTTATGCTGGGTCAGATGACAAACTGGGTCATAAACAACAATTTTGCAAACTGGGTCAGATGCTTTTGCAACGGAAGTTGCTTGGCATTTTCAGTTGAAAACAAAATATAGTCATTGCCGGGATTCTACATCTACTTTTGATCCAACATGCCTGGGGCCCCTGGACGTGGAAAATTCCACCGAAGAAGGATAAGAAAATGTGCTGAACAATGAAAGGTCCAAAATAATTTTTAGATAATTCACATTAATGTTAAGTCACAAAATGGTTTGGTGCATTAGCAAACAGAAGGGTACATCTACGGTTACTACGACATGTTTTACGTTAAAGTGGGAGATTTGTAAACCACTTCAGAGCAAACAAACGGTGTTGAGGAAAAAATTATGTTAGTTGCAACGCAATCATAAAAGCTATGATACATTTGTGAAAGCAAGAAACATTTATTAATTTGGTGCAGTCTAATTGGAAACCTAGAAAAAAATAAATGAATGATCCGAAAGGGTGAAAGGTATCATTTTACTCAAATAAAAGTGTGACCGAATAGGGGATTAGTTAAATAAAAAAAATTAGATTAATAATGTAACACTTTTTGTATTTTTATATAATGCATGTGAGACAGGATGGTGGCTGGAAAAATAAAAAAATAGTGAGTGGAATAAGTATAAACTGTTTTTTCATATATTTATCTAATGATAATAGTGACAGGGTAAAAAAAACAAAGGTGATAACAATGATAAGTGTAGAGAGTTGAGATGGATAACGCACAATTATTTCTTGCAATTGACTGCACCATGCAATCTATATTTTACATTGGGTAAATTTGAAATTGGATGAATAGAATTGATTAGCATGAAAAACTTTTAATGAATAAAACATTTATTGTGCTTTTGTGTATTGTTATTTTTTTCTACATTTAATATCTTAGTGTATACGTCTATTGTGCCAGTACCTGAATTTAAAATTCCTCCTTTCAATTTTAAAATAATACTACTTATCTTACTTATAACTTCCATAGTTACAGTTGGACTTTTGATGCAAAAAGATGGGGAAAATGGCAATCATAATTGCTACCGAGGCAACCATTTTTTTTTTAATCTAATTTGGTAATTCTTGGGACATAAGGATAGAATTGACTTCATCTAGATTAATAATTCGTTGACAAACTTGGATGCTATTAATTGCCATAGAAGATGCTTGGCAATTTCGATACGTGGCCTTTCTTAGTCAGTGCATGATGCTTACATCTTGGACAAACTTGGATGCAATCTCAAGTGGTCATTAGAATGGTGGTTTGACCCAAGAATGACAAATAGCTATGTTCAACAGCCAAAATGTAAGAGAGAAGGGAAGTGGGATATGGAGCCGAGACGGTCATCAGGCGGAATGTCTCCGAGCACCCCTCGCACAAAAGGGAATGAAAGGACTGCAATAGATCACATATAATAGGAACAGTAGTAAAGGAAAACAGTACTGTTTTACTAAGTGAGTAGGGAAAAAGATTTTTAAAAAAAACATATGAGGGGGGACTCCTTTTAAAAAACCTCAGCTTCCGTTTCAAAAATTTCCCTCAAATTAATGAGGCACGACTATTCTTGTGAAATCTTCAAATGAAATAAACTTTTGATCTCCCTCCAAAACTTATCTTTTGAACATTCCTTCACAATTTCAGAGTATCAACAGAATAATATCCCTGCCCAAATTGGGAAGTTTCAGATGAGATTCTATTTATAAGTATTGTACAATTAGTTAGTATTTAAGTACTATTTGTTATTAATTTTTCATTGTTAGCTCGATCTGTTTTACAATATATCCAAAACAATAACTTCTATTCTATCGATTGGTTAAAAAAGAAAAAAATTTACAATCTATTGCTAATTAGTACATACCGATGTTGTACCCCATGTTGGTATTTATTGACTTTCCATTGCTAATGCCTTACAAACTATTTAGTCCATTTTATGATATGTTTAAGGAAATAAAGATTTTTGTTTCACAAATTGGCGAAAACTAATGACATTTGGTTACTTATAAGTTCGTGTTGATTGAACAAAAATTTAACTAGTCATTTACCACTATTATGAAAGTAGTTGCTTTAGGTAAAATTTTAGTTGTCAATATATTACAATCTCAAAAAGTAGAAGTTACCATCAACACATTTGTAACATCCAATCCTAGTATGACTCGTTTCCATTTTTATCAAATCCCAGACTAAAAGTCTTAGAAAAGTTGTTGGGATGTCAATTTTGGCATACTTCTATCATTTAATTGCTCTTTGAACAAATAGCTTTGGGTTGGTTGAGATGTCAATTTTGCATACTTCTATCATTTAATTGCTTTTTGAATAAATATTCTTGGGTTTATTAGATATGATGCATATAAAAATAATATATACATAAAGAGGGATGATGTGTGACTTAAAATGAAGAATGGATTTCTCAAAAAAAAAAAAATGAAGAATGGGGAAGTTTGTTAAGTTTATAAATATAGCAAAGTGCCTCTTTGTTAGATAATTTTATTACTTATAAATATTTCTAAAATTGAACAAAAAAATTAGCCAAATGTACACAATCATAGTTGGTGACGTTGGCAACATCAATCATGTCATCTCTTAATCCAAAATAATTTTGAAAAGAATAATAAATTGGTCTTACTAACTATCTTTGAGAATTAGGCTTATTTTGGGAGTTTAGGATAGACAAGAAAGGAAGGAAAACTTAAGTTATGAGAGAGGAGAAGAGAAAGAAGGGATTGTTATGTTGTTTGAGAGTTTTGAAAATTAGTGGAATGTTTTTGGATATGGAAGTTATTAAATATTTGTTCAAGACCTTTTTAAGGACAAAATAGGCATTTTGAAAAAAATTGACAAGCTTTCTCAAAGTTTCCTTCCATTTCTGTCCAATTTAGGAGGAAAAGTTTTGGCTATTGTTGCACTGCATTTCATCCTTTTGAATCTTCCCATTTCTTTCTTTTATTTCTTACTAAAAACTAAAGGAAAGCTAACTCTCTCTTCTTTTCCTTTCATTCCTATCAAAATCCCAACCCCAAACGAAGCCTTAGACTAACAGCATAACCAATATTTCATTTGTAAATTAGAAGCAAAATTGATTTTGTTTTCCTCAACTGGCACAACGAGGAAGACCTGCAAAGGCTAGAAGAGCAAAGAGGAGAGTGACACCTGCTAGACAATTTATCATTGCACAGAATAACAATGCAGTTTCTGAATCTTTTGGAAATGTTACTACCATTGGTGACGAAAGAAATCGGTTTTGAGCATATAGAGTCAATTTGGTACAAGTATATTTCTTTGCAAATATCTTTTTGTTTTTTAAATTTATATTTTTATGGGTTATTGCATTATGATGTAGTTACTGCTAGAAATTATTTTTTATGTGATGGTTTTTTTTAAGCAAATAAAGCTGTTTAGGAATATTTTTATTTAGCAAGTAAAAGGGTAATTTAGAATTTTTAAAAATTTTGTCACACAAATAACAAAGTAAGGTAGGTAAATTATATTTTTAAAACTTTAAAAGTATTAGGTGATATTAAGAGAAATATCAGGGAAGGCTTTGATATCATCCCATATCTCAATGGTTGTTGCATCGACAAAGGACAACCATTTACGTCCAAGATAAAATTGAATTCAGAATTCCCTACTTAGAATTCATCCCATCTTAGCATCCAATCCAATCTTCCGCCAACGTGAATCATAATTTGGTCTTAATTACTGATCCTCAAGAATTAAAATTAGAACATGCATCTTATTTTGTTTGGTTTCCTCAAGTGCTAGCAGCAAGAATTTTTATAGGATCAGCTAATGGTTAGTTTTTTTATTAATACAAACATTCTAAATAAGCTTGTGAAATCAATTGATTTCATATGCAATCCAAATAAGATTATGAACTCCTTATTTGTTTGATTAATTTCATATACTAACGACTGTACTTGCCAAATAATTGATGGTGACCGTAATAAAATTTCTTTGTTAGGGGTCAAAGTTCTTCCTTTCCGCACTGACTACGGTGCATGCTGCTTCTTGGCTAAATAATCCGGCTTTGTGACTTCCAATTTCATATTCATTAACACACAAACACAGAAACTCTCCCTAATTATTAATGAGCGAGAAATTTCACTTGTAGATAATATAGTCCACGTTCTGCCCATCTGAAACTCCCCATATTATTTCTAGGTTCCAAACAATTATTTTCTTTTGTTTTCGAAAGAAAAAGTTTGAGTGATTTCAACTCTGGTTATCACCAGGGCTGAAACATGATAGACTTCTGTATTTATTTATTTTTTTACAAAAAAAAATACGACTAAGAATTAGGCTAACTGACAAGAAAAAAAGCACAGTTGATTGATTTAATTCTAGCCCAGGCCTGGTTAACCAAGAAAAGTACATAGCGGTTGAATGTTCACCCAATAAAATGAACACTTGAGAATCTGAAAGAAGAAGCAATGATTCTTTTCTTAAACCTGAATCAATTTTCTATGCTTAGACATGCTTTAACATAAAGCTTCATTTCTTTTAGGATAAATTAACTTTTACCTTCTTATGTTTGTTGATTTATCACATAACCTCTCTATGATTTAAAAATTTATAATGATATTTGTAGTCGAAAAAGATTTTGTTTTTATTTTTGTATTTAATTTTTTTATATTTTCCTTCTATCTTTTTGTTTCTTATTTATTTATCTTTTATTTCCCTTCCATCTCTTTGGATTTAGAGAAAATTAAGATTTTGTTGGCCAGAGTATAGATTTTCAGAATCATCTCTTCTTTTCCCCAAAAAAAAAAAAATGTGAGAAAGAAAGGACAAAAGAAAAAAGAAAGGAAAAAAATAGTGAAATGGTGAATTTATCAGTTTATTAGTTTGATTTTGACTTTTTATTAT